GCCCCTCATTAGTCAGGGGGCCGCCTATTTCCCTGCAGGCCCTCATCCATTCCTCAAGTCTCCTATGCCTAAGTGGAGTGATAGCCACCCTGCATTCTTTGGTACATTGCTCAAACACAAGTTGCTTTATTAGCGGCATGGCAGTATCAGTATCGCCGAAGATTTTTTCTGCGGCCTCCACCAACCTGGCCACAAAATCAGAAAAAGGTTCAGAAGGCCCTTGTAAGATTTTTGTCAAATTGCCAGTCGTTTCCCCTTTATTGGGGAGAGCCTTCCATGCCCTAATGGCGATCTGATTGATCTGGTCATACACCAATGGTGGATAAGCATTTTGTTGAGTGGCGTATTGACCCATGCCTAGGAGCATTTCCGCATCCCAAACAGCCTGGGGCCCTCCGGCCGTGGCATTAGCCGCACTCTGAGTAATTGCAAATTCATTGAGATAGGCCTTCCAATCTAGATATTGACCGGGTGACAAGCATGCCTTTGCAAGATTCCGCCAATCAGCCGGTGTCATGGCAAATCTATGTAGGGTCTCTAACTGAGCAACTGTAAAGGATGCTATGACCCCGTAGGTTCTGACTGACTTGGCCAAGGATTTTACAATTTTAAAATCCAGCATTTCATGAAACCTGTTCCCTTGTGGGTCCTGGAAGATCGGATAGGCCAGAGGCATCTCTGTTCTGACCTGTCTCCAAACTTCTGAGTTGAAGCAAGCTCCTCCTGAATTAGCTGCAGCCTCCAGATAGGGAGGGGGAGCTGAAGGGACTATGTCAGTCCTTGGGTAAAGTCGGCTAACTTTCTTTCTTCCTAGCTGTAATTTAGCAAGCAATCTTCGGGCGGACTGTAAGGGTGCTTTATGGGGGGCCTCCCGCTCCTCTTCCAACTCAGACTCTTCGGTGGAGGTAGGGGCGGCAGAACTATTAATATCCTCCAAGTCTGACAGGCCAGGGTATAATCTATTCCCTTCTTTCTTCTGTTTTGGTTTTATTTTTAGATCCAGGGTATGACCTATGGGAGAGGCGGCCTCAACTGAGGCAGCCGACTCTGACCTCTCCTCCTGTAAAAGTTCTAGGGCCGCCTGACCGTTCCTTATAGCTTTAATGCATTTTTGATCAGTAAGACACCCGCGAACTAACGTCCAAACGGGCCGAACCCCGGGAGCAAGGACACCGTGCTCTGCAGCAACATCTAAATCTTTGCCTAATTTCTTCCATGACGAGAGTGTCAAGCTGCCAGATACGGCAAACCAGGGTGCCACAGTGTCACACTCCGTCAGGAATCTTTCCAAAGTACTTTTCTTAAGTTCAAGGTTTTCTTAATGCAGCAACTCATTGAGCGCCAAAAAAAATTGGGTGGGATGTTGAATTACCCATGTTTTTAGCAAGGTTGATTCCCTGACTGACCTGCCCTAGTACAATCCTTGCAACAGTGAAAAGAAAACCCAAAAGTAAAATTGAATACCACCCAAAGGGCCAAGAAAAATAATACCCTCTGTTTCACTTTTACTCCGTCCGCTTTGACGCGGCTCTACTACTTTCCCTTTTGTCCCGTCCGCTTTGACGCGGCTCTGCTGCTTTGCTTTCCCGTCCGCTTTGACGCGGCTCTGCTGACCGTTCACCCCTTCTCTACGGGTGAGAACAATAACCCCGCTCTTTTCGCGGATCCCCGCCTTACCTGGGGACTTACCGGTGCACCCCCTGACCGCTGTGAGTTCTGAATTCCTTTCTTCGTACGAGCGTTCCCCGTACGGGCCACCAACTGTCACGACTACCTCGACCAGCAAGGAAGACAGCGACTCAGGAATCCTCATCAGCGGTTTATTCAGGAACCTTGAGACAACGTGGAGGCAGCCACGGGAAAAAAACCCCTCCTGCTCCCTAAATAGCCGAGGCCAGCCAACCCTGAGCAGCCACGTGTGTGCAAGCCATAGGCTCACCAGAATGCATAAGCAATCTGATGATGATGGCGTGACCCCGGCGGGATGGGAGCAGGCCAAATAAGGAGTTGTTTATTACCGAGCGCACTCACCGTCGGGATGGTGGAATGCGGAAGCCTGCGCCATCTTTGAGGCGCGGTGTGGCACAGCTCTCCACACAGTACCCATCCCAAGTATACACACGGACTTTGGACTCCCATAGAACAATGTGAGGTGCACTCTCACCCTGAACTCTTGGGGAAGGGTCTAGGCCCTGCCCTATATGAAATGACAGACTATGGACACCCCCATGGAGGGCCTCACCCTCCCTGGGGGAATGAGGGGATAAGGGGGGGTTGGGGGGAGGGCACGGGAGGAGGGGAGGGAATGGGAGAGGGACCTGGAACTGACTTGTGTAGCAACCTCGTTTCTTATCTAAATTTAAACTGGAAAATAAAAATAAAAAAAAATAAAAAAAGAATTAAAGATCATGAATGGGCAATCTACTATAACAGGAATTCTATGTGTGTGGCTGTATGCATGGATGTGTACAACATGCACACAGCACTCAAAGGTGAGAGGGAGGGCATCAGACCCCCCTGAGACTGGAGTTACAAACAGTTGTGAGCTGTCATGGGTGCTGGGAACTGAAGCTGGATCCCTCTGCAAGAGTAGGCAGTGTTCTTACAGCTGAGCCACCTCTCCAGCCCCTATAATTAGATTTAAAAGCACACAAAGGATAAAGTGGATAACTCTATAAATCTTCAAAACTATCAAGTTAAAAGGAAATGTTAAATAGGAAATTAATACAAGTTTAGAGGGTATAGAGCAAAGATTCTGAAAGATAGCCTTTTCAACACTCTACACTGCATCTTTCTCTGACCTTGACTCTTCTGCTTTCCCTCAAAGCAAATCTGTGTTGAAGGGAAAGATTGCCGTGGTCTCTGCCTTTCATGTTGCTGTGATAAGATGTCATGACCAAGGCAGCTTGTAGAAGTTTCTCTGGGTCATTCCAGACAGTGACACCATCATACTGGGGAGCATGGCAGGCAGGCATGACTCCAGAGCAGTAGCTGAGTGAACATCTGATCCACAGCATGAGGCAGAAAACTAACAGGAAGTGGCTTGGTCTTTTGAAACCTCAAAGCCCTTCCCTAATGACACACCACCTCCAACAAGCCACACCTCCTAAACCTTCCCAAACAGCTCCACCAGCTGTGGACCAAGCATCCAAATGTGAGCCTATGGGTGCCATTCTTACCCAAACCACCATGGGGAGGCTGTTTTATGCCATCTCTACTCCCTAAAACACTGGGCTAAAAACTTTGATTTGAGTCCTATTAAAGCTCTCCAGGAACATTTTAAACCTGGGTCATTAGTCAGAAAATTGTTTTTATAGGCTATCAGATGTCTGTCCCATGGGGCTGGAGAGTTTAGAAACTGAGTGCTTGCTGCTCTTGCAGAGGACTGGATGATGGTTTTCAGGACCCATACAGAGTGGCTGACAATCTCCTGTAACCTCCAGCTCTAGAGAAGTAAAATATAACAAATTCTTGGTTGATCTTTTATTTCCTGCCACAGAGCAACCTGTCCTGATGACCAGTTGTCCTGTTGTCCTGTCCTGTGATAGCCACATGGCTGTATATACAAGTGTAGGTGGCCCAGCCATGTCTACCAATCATATGAACTCAGTCTGTATGAGTAAATAGGAATTAAGTAGTGTTTATGTCATATAGAACTTAGCAGGTCTTGGAAGGCTTTGAAGCCTTAGAATAATTTCTATCCTATTCTCATGAGACAAAAGTTTAGGGTTGACTTTTATCTAAAGTGTATGAAAACAATTGGCTTCCAATGTCAATGAGTTCGCAGTATATTCATCAAAACTGACCCAACTGATGGACCCCAAAGTTTCCCAGGGGTATAGGTACTTCACTAGAACTCTGGGATAGCCCCAAATTTTATGCAGGAGATCTGGAACGTTGCAAGACCAAAGCCTAACAACCTCTGGCTATCTTTCAATGCCCACTTCTGGGTTTGGCCTCACATTATGGCTATTAGGTAATTCCTTTGGAGGGTACAAACAATAAGGAAAGCTTCTACCAACCTAAAGACTAAGGAATGGCATAAGATAGCATTTTAAGCCTATAGTAGATTGTCTCTGCTGAAGCTCACTTTATCCAACATCTCCAGTGTGCTTTAAAGTATTGGTCTCTGAATTTCTTCATTCTGTTACATGGAACATAAAATTTGGAATATGAGCATATGTTCTGGGTCCTAGTTTATTCTAGGACCAAATACGACTGTCATCTTTTTCCCTTTATTGTGAAAAACTTAGTGACACAAAAACATGTCTGAGCTGGACATGGTGGTGCACACCTTTAATCCCAGCACTCGGGAGGCAGAAGCAGGCAGATCTGAGTTTGAGGCCAGCCTGATCTTACAAAGTGAGTTCCAGAACAGTCAGGGCTTACAGAACGAGCCACTTCAAAAACAACAAAAATTGGTCTGAGGTGTAAGTATAGCACCTGTGCCATGAGCAAGTCTAATGTATTGGGCAAAAGCCTGGAGATTTAAATGAAAGACAAAGATGTCTAGCCATTGTGCTAAGTGTGTGTGTGTGTGTGTGTGTGTGTGTGTTGCAAGGAGGGAGCAGCCTTGTATACAGACTTATAGCACAGTGGAGAAACTGCAGGTGTAAGAGTTCATGCTTTCATAATTAGAGGTTGATGTCAGTGGGGCAAGGCCAGGGCTGTAAGCCAGGACTAGAAAACAGGATGTACCTGTGGTTATTGGCTGACAAGCAACTCAGAGACCCCATGGGGGCTGGAACCCAACAGTTAGGCTTAATGAAGAATGATTACCCCGAAGCTCAAGGGGAGATTCGTCAAAAATGAGAGATGACTCAGCCTGCAACACTTGCTGGTCTTTGAGGACTTGAGTTCAATTCCAAGATGGAGCAGTTACAAGCTCCTGTAGCTACAACTGCAGGGGACTCTACACCTTCTTCTGTCCCCCAGACACTACACTCATACGCACAAGTCACCCCCACCCTATAGAGACACATGATTAAAAATAGAAAAAATTTATAGGTGAGATTTTAAAAAACATAGTAAAAAATCAGATGAATCATGTGTCCCATCAAATTTGTTAAAGTCTTAGCTTTAGGCTTTCTCACAGCTGAGATAGTTTAGCCAACTCCAAAGGAAAGAAGCTTCAGTTCCAGCCACATGCATAAGATCACTAGTTCCATTTTGAGTGACCATGGCCCAGGAACAGACTCAGGTTCCCCGAATTCAATGTTCCATCTTGGAAGCAGTTTCACGAAGCTTTTAAATGCAGTCTTACAGAACAAAGAAAATCGTAACTCAAGGCAAGTTTAAAATATATTGGTAGGAACATCAGAGGCAGGTGCTGTGGTGTGGGACCTGTCCTACAAGCTATCTGATGACTTCTTAGCGGTAAACTAGCTTCTACCAACCCAGAAAGCTAAGTCAGTATCATCTATGATTGTTGGTTTAATCTACTGCGGCAAGATGTTAGTTCAATAGTGGGGAGGAACGGCCGCTGTCCTAGCCTCTGGCCCCACAGCATTCGTCTCTCCACAGTACTGAGGTCCCAATGAGCTGGTCACTCTCTGCTGTCAGTCACTCATCATTCACAGCCACAGGCAGAGCTTCCTTCCACAAGTTTTTGCTTACACGTCTACCACACAAAGTTCCCTAACTCTTCTGAAAAGTTCTCACCCTTGTCATTCAGCTTTTGCAAACTGATTAGATTACATTTCTATTCTTTAACCCATGTGTCCTCCCTGAGATTGGGAGACAGGAAAGTCCATGAGAAGTTCTGACATTAGTATGCTGACTTGAAGACATTCTGCATAATGTCCAGGATGAACAGTTCCCGTCTAAATCTGCCCCATACGTGGTCAAGGTTAGCTAATGGAGAGCAGAGCACTTGACCTTCTGCAAGGACATGTGTGTGCATAGCATGTCAGCATGTCTCATTCTAAATTATAGGCAGGCAGGGGCAGAGGAGGTATTCCTTGAGTGCAAATGCAAATGACTGGAACCCAGAAGAGGGCATCAGATCCCTGGAGCTAGAGTTACAGGCAGTTGTCAGCCAACCCATGTAGGTGCAGGGAACCACACTGAGGTCCTCTAAAAGAAGAGCCAAATGCTCTTAACCACTGAGCAATCTCTCCAGGCCCAGCACAGGGCATCACAAATACTTTTGTTTTCTCAATGAGCTTGTAGTGAAAAGTAGTCATGGTCTATGCATTTGTTCTAGCAGCAAGGTCTCCTTTATCAAATTTGTTCCATTAACAGCGTGTACATTTTCAGCTTCTGCCTGCCCTTGGGAATGATATAATGGAAGAACTCCACCTCTGAAGCTGGAAGCTCACCCTTGGATCAGCAGTGGTTCGACTTACATATTTCACGAAGGATATGTCCTATTGCTGACAGAAGTAATTTAGAGTGTGTATCTCTTCTGAAATGGAATCCGGAGATGCCACAATCTGAAACCTGTTTGAAACATTTATACTTTCATCCAGCTGTACAGCAGCCTTTGACACCGTGTAATTTGTTCTAAGCCCCATTCCTTCCTCTCTCCTTTTCTCTTGCTTCTCGGCCTCTTCAGCCCAAACTGAGCTCGGCCGTGTTCTCTCCACACCTTGCTATAGGAATGCTGGGACTGAAGACGTGTGCCAGTGTGTCAAGCTTTCAGTGGATTCTCACCATTGAACTTAGATCACCAGGCTGTGTGGAAAGTGCTGTGTTTACACACTGAGAAATATCCCCAAATAGCGGGCTTCCCCACAGCATTTTCACTATACTAGGATTTATTTTTTGTTTTTTTCTCTCCCAGCCCTGCCTCTCCCCTCACAGCTCACTTTTCATGAGCATCATCACTACCCACAAGTGCAAATTACCCAGGTTTCCAGAGCCCATGACCAAATTGGACACGATGGCAGAAACGGTGCCTAAGTCACCTGGACCCATTTATGTGATGCAAATGCCAGCCTGTACTCCTGGTCCTCCCTTGATACTGTGTTTGCATTGCCTGCAGTAGAACTTGTCTCTAAAGGGCTTGTTTACACAGTATCTATAGTCTCATTACAAGACATGTAGCACCCCCCCCCCAGAAACAATCATTGAGCACTGGCCCTGTGCATGAGAACCTGGTCACTCCTTTGTCTGCCCAGTCAGGTGACCCCAGCAGAGTTTTGAGCCAATGTTAAGGCCTTTGATGGTTCATTGGGCTTCACTGAAGCATACTTTGGTGTACCTTAGTTATCTTATATTAACTGCAAAGTTGCTTGATGGGGAATGTATTTTTATTTAAACAGAAAAGATGATGAGGAATGTTCTGTGTATGTTTATCTTATTGGTTGAATAAAGCACTGTTGGCCAATAGGAAAGCAAGATAGGTGGGACTAGGAGACAAGGAGGATTCTGGGAAGTGTAGGCCAAGGAGCTGTCATGGGATTCCCAAGAAGTTACATAGCAGGGCAGAGATAGAATATAAGCAGGGACAAACAGGAAATTGCTATCCTCTCCTCTTCCCTTCTCTGGGGACACGCTGAGCAGTCGATATGTAGGACACCAGAGGACTAACAGGTCTTTCTCCAGTGAGACAAGGCCACGAGGAAATACATTAGTAGTTATGGGTTAAGAAGAATCCCAAGTCTCCAGCCAACATCTTTATACTAACATAGCATCTGCCTGTTTGGGGCAGAGAAGGGCAGTGGGACCTACCGAGCCAGAGAAAACTCATGCTACAGATCTAGGATTTGGGGCTTGGGGGGATAATGAAAGAGGGACAGGCAGAAGCAGAGAATCTGTGTCCATCACCTGACATTTTTATTTACTCTACTCTCATACAATACATTCCAACCACAACTTCTCTCCACTCCTCCCAGCCAAGTACCTCCCTCCTTTCCCTGCAGACTCTTCCATTTCCCTTCAGAAACCAGCAGGCCTCCAGTGATATCAACTGAACACCCCTCTGGCTCTTACAGTCCTTTATTCCCCCCACCCCGATAATTCCCCAAAATCCAGCTAATGTCTGGCTTGGGTCTCTGCATCTGCTCCCATCAGCTGCCTGATGGAGCCTCTTCTGATGGTGATTGGGCTAGGCACTGGCCTATGAGTACAGCAGAATATCTTTAGGGATTGTTTCCTTTACTCTTTGTCAGTCCACCTCGTTCTACTCTAGGTCCCTGAGCCGTACAGCTTCAGGTTCCTAGCCACCCAGGCAGTGTCAGGCCTGGGTTCCCAAGCCACAAGTCACAGGTTGGTCACTCTTACAAGCTCTGACACCATTACCCCAGCACATCTTGTGGCAGGACAGAGTGGGTTGTAGGTTTTGTGGCTCTATCGGTGTCCCATTACCACCACTGGGAGCCTGGCAAGGTTACCAAAGATGGGTGGTTCATCACCTGACCTTATTAAACTAGTGCCTATTTGCTAGAGTTAGCCCTGAGTGAAAGCAGCATGAAGCCAGTACTTCAGACCCTAAGGAATACATGCTATCTACGTACCTACAATTGTCCCTCAATTTTTGTCCTTCTGTAAAAAAATGGAGTTAAGTTAGATGAGAAACTTTCCAGCAACTGTAATGTGAAAGTTTCTGGCCCTGCTGGTCCTGCCTCCCTTCTCTGGCCTAAAGAAACATGCAAACACTATATTATAATGGCCTTTGGCTATGGCTTATCGGCTAGCTCTGACTTAATTGTTAGCCCATAACTACTAATCCACGTATTTCCACATGGTCTAAGCTTACCAGACCTGCAACACCTTTACCTGCTACATGATGATGGCTGCCTCAGGGTCTACAGAGAGAACCATTTCCTGTTTGTCTCTGCTTATATTCTGATTCTGCCCAGCTATGTCACTTCCTGCCTAGCCAATCAGTGTTTTATTCATTAACCAGTAAGAGAAACATACACAGAAGAACATTCCCCATCATAGATCTTTCCCAGATTTAGATAATGGGGGGAAGAACATGAGAGCCAGTGTGGTTGTATTGTAGAGAAGTTTCTCATCAGGAGAGGAAAACAGTGCAGATGCTGAGAGGATAAAGGTGGGGTGCTGAAGACATGGTTCAACGGTTAAAGCACTTAACACTCCTGGAGGGGGTAATACATGGTGGCTAACTGCCTATAACTTGAATTCTAAGGGACCTGACAACCGCTTGTTTCTTGTGGGTACCATATGCATGGTGATATACAAACACATGCAGGCAAAAACACATTTTTAGGAAGTAAAACTGGAAATTTAGGGACTAGGTAGAACTTGTGTGGGATGATGAAGGACCTGGATTAGTCCCATGCTGGCCTCCCAGCTGTCCGTCTGGGGTCCAAGAGCTCCCCCTTGTTCAGATCAGCTGTCTCTGCTGGTTTTGCCAGCCCATTCTTTGCCAATTTGCTCATCGCTCCTCTCTGTCACTGGGTTCCATGGGTTCAGTTCAGTGATTAACTGTGGGTGTTTGCCTCTGCTTCCATCAGTCACTGGATGAAGGTTCTAGGATGGCATATAATGTAGACATCAAGTTCATTATCAGGAACGGGCATTTAAGGTGGTCTCTCCACTATTGCTTAGCTTGCCAATTGGTGTCATCCCTTTAGATCACTAGAGGTCTCACTGGTGCCTGATCTCTCTTCCAACCTATGACTCCCTCTATTACAGTATCTCTCATCCTGTTCTTCCCTATTCTACCCCCACTCAACCTTCCTATTTCCCCATGACCTACTCTTCCTCTTCTCCCCCTCTCTTCTTCCCAACTCCCACCCTCCCCCACCTCTCGCCATGTTCCCCATCTGTTCAGAGGATCTTGCCTCATTCCTCTTCTCTTGGGTACCATGCATATCTCCTAGGTTCTTTCCTATTTCCCAGATTCTGTCAGTGGAAGTGCAGACTGGCACTATCCTGATCCATGTCTAAAATCCATATGAGTGAGTACATACCATGTTTGTCTTTTTGTGACTGAGTTACCTCACTCAGGATGGTTTCTTCTAGTGACACCCATTTACCTGCGAATTTCAAGATTCCATTGTTTTTCTGCTGAGTAGTACTCCATTGAGTAAATGTACCACATTTTCTCTATCCACTCTTCACTTGAGGGGCATCTAGGTTCTTCATTGAGCATTGACGTTGATTCCAGGTTCTGGCTATTACAAATAATGCTGCTATGAACACAGTGGAACAGATGTCCTTGTATGAATTTGCATCTTTTGGATATATGCCTAAGAGTGGAATTGCTGGGTCTTGTGGTAGGCTGATTCCCATTTTCCTGAGGAATCTCCATACTGATTTCCAAAGTTGGGTGTACGAGTTGGCACTCCCACCAGCAGTAGAGGAGTGTTATCCTCTCCAGCATAAATTGTCTTCGGTGTTTTTGATTTTAGCCATTCTGATGGGAGTAAGATGGTATCTCAGTTGTTTTGATTTGCATTTCCCTGATGGCTAAGGATGCTGAGCACTTTCTCAAGTGTCTCAGTCATTTTGGACTCCCCTATTGAGAATTCTCTAGCTCTGTACCCCACTTTTTAATTGGATCCTTTGGTGTTTTGGAGACTTGCTTCTTGAGTTCTTTGTAAATTTTGGAGATCAGCCCTCTGTCAGATGTGGGGTTAGTGAATATCTTTTCCCATTCTGTGGACTGCCTTTTTGTTTTGTTGACTGTGTCCTTTGCCTTACAGAAACTTTTTAGTTTCAGAAGGTCCCATTTGTTAATTGTCGATCTCCGTGTCTGTTCTACTGGTGTTGTGTTCAGGAAGCGGTCCCCTGTACCAATTCATTGAATATCTCCCACTTTCTCTTATAAAAGTTTCACTGTGGATGGATTTATGTTGAGGTTTTTGATCCATCTGGACTTAAGTTTTGTGCAAGGCAATAGACATGGATCTATCTGCAGTCTTCTGCATGCCAATATCCAGTTAAGCCAGCACCATTTGTTGAAGATGCTTTTTTCCATTGTATAATTTTAGCTTCTTTGTCAAAAATCAAGTGTTCGTACATGTGTGGGTTAAAATCAGGGTTTTCAATTTGGTTCCATTGGTCTACCGGTCTATTTTTGTGCCAATACCAAGCTATTTTCAGGACTATAGCTCTGTAATAGAGCTTGAAGTCAGGTATAGTGATGCCTCCCGAACTTCCTTTATTGTATAGGGTTGTTTTGGCTATCCTGGGTCTTTGTTTTTCCATATAAAGTTGATTATTCTTTCAAGGTCTGAAGAATTGTGCCGGAATTTTGATAGGGATTGCACTGAATTTGTAGACTGCTTTTGTCAAGATTGCCATTTTCATTATGTTGATCCTACCAATCCAAGAGCATGGGAGATCTTTCCATTTTCTGGTATCCTTTGATATCTTTCTTTAGAGACTCAAAGTTCTTGATATACAGGTCTTTCACTTATTTGGTTAACATTATCCCCAGATATTTGATGCTGTTTATGGCATATTATAAAGAGTGTTTCTGATTTCTTAGCCACTTCAGCATCTGTATATAATAGGGCCACTGATTTTTTTTTTTTTGAGTTAACCTTGTATCCTGCCACTTAAGGTGTTTATCAGCTCTAGGAGTTCCCTTGCGGAGTTTTTCGGGTCACTTATGTGCAAATAGTGAAAGCTTGACTTCTTCTTTTCCTATTTGTATCCCCTTGATCTCCTTTTGTCTTATTGCTCTAGCTAGAACTTCAAGTACAATATTGAAGAGATACGGAGAGAGTAGACAGCCTTGTCTTGTTCCTGATTTTAGTTGAGTTTGCATTGAGTTTCTCTCCATTTAGTTTGTTAGTTGTTGGTTTACTGTATATTGCTTTTATTATGTTCAGGTATGTTCCTGTTGTCCCTGATCTCTATAGGACCTTTATCATGAAGGGGTGTTGGATTTTGTCAAAGGCTTTTTCAGCATCTAGTGAGATGAACATGTGGTTTTACTTTTGCAGTTTGTTTATATGATGGATTACATTGATTTTCTAATGTTAAACCATCCCTGCATTGCTGGGATGAAGCCTACTTGATCATGGTGAATGATTTTTCTGATGTGTTCTTGAATCGATATGCTAGTATTTGGAGTATTTTTGCATCGATGTTCATGAGGGAAATTGGTCTATAGTTCTTAGTTGTGTCCTTGTGTGGCTTGGGTACCAAGGTAATTGTAGCCTTGTAAAGAGTTTGGCAGTGAGCCTCCCGCTTCTATTGTGTGGAATACTTTGAGGAGTATTGGAATTAGCTCTTTGAATTTCTGGTAGAATGCTGCACTGAAGCCATCTGAGCCTGGGCTGTTTTTGGTTGGGAGACTTTTGATGACTGCTTCTATTTCATTAGGGGTTATAGGTCTGTTAATATTTCTGTTCTTGATTTAGTTTTGGCAAGTGATATCTATCCAGGAAATTGTCCATTTCCTTTAAATTTTCGAATTTTGTGGAGTATAGATTTTCAAAGTATGCCTTGATTCTCTGGATTTTCTCAGTGTCCATTGTTATGCCCCCCTTTTCATTTCTGATTTTGTTAATTAGCATGCTCTGTCTTTTGGTTAGTTTGGACAAAGGTTTGTGTGTATTCTTAAAGAACCAATTCTTTGTATCGTTGATTCTTTGCAATGTTTTCCTGGTTTCTACTTGATTTCAGCCCTCAATTTGATTTCCTGGTGTCTGCTCCTACTGGGTGAGTTTGCCTCTTTTTGTTCTAGAGCATTCAGCTGTGCTATTAATTCTCTAGTGTGAATGTTCACCAGTTTCTTCATGTGGGCACCTAGTGCTATGAACTTTCCTCTCAGCACTGCTTTCAGAGTGTCCCATAAGTTTGGGTATGTTGTGTCTTCATTCTCATTGAATTCCAGGAGGTCTTTTATTTCTTTTACCCAGGGATGGTGCAGTTGTGCATTGTTCAATTTCCATGAGTTTGTAGGGTTTCTGCAATTTGTGTTATTGTTAAATTCTAATTTTAATTCATGGTCTGATAAGATACAGGGCGTTATGCAATTTTTTTTGTATCTGTAGAGGTTTGCTATGTTTATGTGGTCAATTTTAGAGAAGGTTCCATGTGGCACTGAGAAGGTATATCCCTTTGTGTTTGGGTGGAATGTTCTATAGATGTCAAACCCAGTTGGATCATAACTTCTTTTGTTAAGTCTCTGTCTGGAGGTCCTGTCTAATGGTAAGAGCGGAGTGTTGAAGTCTCCTACTAGTGTGAGATTTTGTGATACGAGCTTTAGTATTTCTTTCACAAATGTGGGTGCCTTTGTATTTGGGGCATAGATGTTCAAAATGGAGACTTCATCTTGATGAACTTTTGAATATTGAAATGTTATTCTCTTGATTTTAATTTGAAGTCTAATTTGTTAGATATTAGGATTGCTACACCTGCTTGTTTCTTGGGTCCGTTTGATTGGAAAATCTTTTCCCAACCCTTTACTGTGAGGTAACCTCTGTCTTTGACATTGAGATGTGTTTCTTGTATGCAGCAGAAGGATGGGTTCTGTCTTCATATCCATTCTGCTAGCCTGCCTTTTTATAGGCAAGTTGAGACTGTTGACATTGGGATATTAATGACCATTGATTCTTGTTTGTGCTTGATTTATTGTGTGTAGGTTCTCCCTTTTTCTTTTGGTGTTTGGTAAAGTGGGATTATCTATTGCCTATGTCTTTGTGAGTGTAGTTATCTTCATTGGGTCTAGATTTTTCCTTCCAGCACTTTGTGTAGATCTGGATTCATGGATACGTATTGTTTAAATCTGGCTTTGTCATGGAATATTTTGTTTTATCAATCTATGGTAATTAAAAGCTTTGCTGGGTATAGTAGTCTGGGCTGGCATCCTTGTTCCCTTAGCATTTGAAGGACATCTGTCCAGGATCTTCTCACTTTCATAGTTTCCAGTGAGAAATCAGATGTAATTCGGATAGGTCTGCCTTTATATGTTGGCCTTTTTCTTTAGCTGCTCTTAATATTTTCTCTTTATTCTGTAGGTTTGTTTTGCTTATGTGGTGAGGTGACTTTTCTGGTCCAGCCTATTGGGTGTTCTGTAAGATTCTTGTATTTTCATAGGCATATCCTTCTTTAGGTTAGGGAAGTGTTTTCTTCTATGATTTTGAATGTTTTCTGTACCGTTGAGCTGTTTTTTTTTTTTCTTTGCCTTCTATACCTATTCTCAGGTTTGGCTTCTTCAGTGTCCCATATTTCCTGGATGTTTTGTGTTAGGGATTTGTTGGTTTTGAGATTTTCTTTGACTGTATATCTGAGTCTTCAACACCTGAGATATTCTCTCTTCTCTTGTATTCTATTGGTGATACTTGTATCTGTAGTTCCTGATCGCTTACCCACTTTTCTATTTCCAGCATCCCCTCATTCTGTGTTCTTTGTTTCTATTTCAGCTTTCAATCCTTCAACTGTTTGAGTTGTTTCATTTGTTTTCTTGGTACTTTTTAGATTCTTTGAGAGAGTTGTTTATTTCTTGAATGTTTTGTTTTGCCTTTTCCTCCCTTTCATATATTTTTTGTTTTTTTTCTTTAAGGGATTTCCTCGTTTCCTTTGAGAGTCTCTATCTTAAAAAATTTTAAGGTCTGTCTCTTCTGCTTCATCTATGTAGTGCTTTTCAGATCTTGCTGGCATTGGGTCTCTAGATTCTGGTGGAGTCATGTTGGTCTTTCTATTGCTGAGTTCTTATTCTGTCGTCTTCCCATCTCTTCTTCCAGTGGGTGCAGGTAGGGTCTTTCTGTCTTCACTGGTCTCCTTTCCTGAAGCTGAAGCTGGGTATACAAGAGGGTGGGGTCTGGAAGGACTGGCATCCAGAGGACCCGCCCACACAGGAAAGGCAAGAGTGGACCTCTGGAAGATTGAGGGGATGGATGATGGGCAGGGGATAGGGGATGGTACCAGGGAGACCCAGGTGGGGTCTAGTAGAGGCCTTCTTGATTGAGATTAACAAGTTGATGGGATGTCCTGTGATGAGGGCTTGTAAAGACCCAACTTCTCTGTAGGTGGCATTTCTTGGGAAGGGTCCTGGACTGTGTACAATAGAGAAGGAGGACTGAGCCTTAGCATTGTGTTCAGGTGGCCTTTAACTTGATTGCTTGGATGTTCTGATTGCTGGTTGGGTTTTCATGTTGGCTATAGATCTGTTTATATTTTTATTTTGCAAGTAGGTTTTGGTTGAGTTTCTAGAAACTTATCACTTTATCCAGGGCAACTAATTTAAGAGCAAATAACTCTTACAGTTATTTTCTCTCTCCCAGAATGACTCAGTCTTTCATTAATCCTCTCTCCCACAAAACCGGCTGTACTCCTTTTTATCTAGTTTAAAGCTTTGCCAATTTCTTCCTCAAAAGCATAACCTCTTCCCCTCTTGTGCCTATGAGTTATCTCTGCTCTAATTATCTGCTATCTTTAGGTTTAAGTTTTACTTTTTCTTCAAGTGTATGTCTGGTGATTTGAAATCTTAATTTCAGTTTCAGGTATAAAACATCTCTCCTGGCACCATGTTTATTGTATCCATAAGTTTGTATATACGGTTCTTGTTTCTCAAGTCCTTCATTTCCATTGTGACTTTCCACAGCTTTGATTCAGAATGTGTTGTCTAATCCCAGTACCCTTACACTGTTAATCTCTAGCTTTGTCTCATTGATCAGAAAACACTTCTATTTTAATCCTTTTATAGTTAACATATCACAGCCTAACATATGCTCTATCCTCAACTGTTGCATATCCACTTGAGAAAAATGTTTATTGACACTGAGTGTTTGGCACCTGATTAGCACACTTGATCTAGCTCATTATGCAGGCACCATTCCCTAATGAATCCTCTGTCTGCTGTTACTATAGGGATGTCTATTGATTCAACTGTTTGCCTCAGCCTTAGGAGTACTAATGTGTGGTGATATATATATCACTTGCCTGAGGATTCAGAAAGCAAAGTCCTCAAGTTAATAGAGATCAGGCAGTAGTAGTACACACCTTTTAATCCAAGGACTCAGGATTAAGAGGTAGACAGGCTGGGTGTTGGTGGCGCACGCCTTTAATCCCAGCACTCGGGAGGCAGAGGCAGGTGGATCTCTGAGTTCGAGGCCGGGCTGGACCAACAGCCTCAAACAATACAGAGACCCTGTCTCGTAAAAACCAAAAAAAAAAAAGAGGTAGACCTACAAGAGTGAAGGGTAGCAGAACTCATACCTTTTGATTCCAGCACCTGGGATCACAAGCCTTTAACCCCAGCATTAGGAGGTATATAAGACAGGAGCAAGGTCTCAGAGCTGGCATTCATTCTCCAGCCACATTGACGACAGGAAGACATTGGAGTCTCAGGATTCTCCAGTTATGCTAAGGAGAGGCAGCAGTCTGAGGTTTGGAGCCAGGATTGCCTTTCAGTCTGAGGCAGAGAAAGCTAGTGGCCAACCACTTTGTTTTTCTGATCTTCAACTTGAGGTTTGAACCCCAACATCAGTGTCTGGGTTTCTTATTTTTCATGTTACAATTCAAGCTGGGTGGAGATCATACATGCCTTTTTAATGCTACCACCTGGGAGACAAACATAAGCAGATCTCAGTGACTTTGAAGCCAGCCTGGTCTACAAAGTTTCAGTACAGCCAAAACTGTTAACACAAACTGTCTGAAAAAACAACAAAAAATAAATACAAATAGTAAACACAATGGAGCCCCAAATGGTTCTTAGTATGGATACTATCAAAATTGATTGCTTTTGAACAAGACACCTCTTAGCTAAGATCAAGAAGTGTGGCTGTTTAAACTAACCTATACTAACAAATGATTTTCATTTGAACAGATATAAATCTGTCTCGTATCAGAAGAGTCATCTGATATGGAACAGAAGGAAAACAAATACTTAGGATTATTGTATTGCTACTAATCTCAATTTTTGGCATTTATGGTCCATAGAGTACTAACAAATTCTAGAAAAGTTGTCTACCTTCATGTACATGATCTCTGGTTTGAGTACCAGTTTTCTACAGTAAACCATGACTATGCATAACAGCAACCTTTGAGGTCTCCAAAAGGAAGATGGGGCCCCACAATGACTATTTCATCAGGACTATCACAATACCATTATGCTGAACAACACCAACTAAAGATCAGCTTTGGACTAAAAACTGCTCATAACCATTCTGATTGCTGAGATGATGCAGCCTTGCAGACACTGCTTGGAACAATTTTGAGGTGGCTAGTGAAGGTTTTTCAGCCTCAGACTACGTCAGCCAGCATTTGAAACAAGCCTTGTACTTGTACATTATACAGAGACTGGACAACAAATGATACAGTTTGACCATTAACCAAAATTTTCTTTTCAGGATCCCCTAAAGATATCATTGCCCACAGACAGCAGGAAGTAATTTAAGAACACGACGCTCACATTCCCAAGAGGTGGGTGGGTGGTTTTTGATCACTCCTTGGATTATGGATATTTGTCATTGTTTAGGGAGATTGGTTACAAAATCTTTTTGCTTATGATCAGGAAGAAAGTTTAACAAAGGGGATTATATATTCAAGGTTTTATTTTGGTAAAGAGGAATCTGGATAGTAATAGGATAAAAAGGGTAGATTACTGAATCTACTCTGAAAAGAATGAGGATATAGACATGTCGAGATGAAAAGGTGGATTATTGAATCTCTTAAAAAGCAACTACTTGCTTTAAACATACATTGGATTGGACTTCTGTATATTGTATACAAATGTTGTATATTGATACAAACTTGGGATTAATTTTGCTATGTTTATAATCTAGGTATTGTATCTATACAGCTCATTTACAATGGAAAACAATTTCTAGTCCTTGAAAGTTATTATCAACTATATAAAGCATTAGGAAATGTAGTTGAGTAATTAGTCAACTATAACAATCAAACTTGTCTGTTTACAAGGTCAAACTGATACTTTAGAAAGACAGGTCTGCTGTGTCATCGGCAGTCAGGGCTGTGGGAAGAGCCAGTCCAGCTGGTCACTTCCCGGGGCTGAGTGTCGATGACCCTGCCCCCCCCAGTCACCCAAGAGAACCACGCTGAGTCATGGAGACCTGTTGAAGCAGTGTCTCTTTATTGTAAGAGGCGCGCGCTTATATAGGGTTGAGAAAGTAGGTAGGGACCTCATGATGGGGTGAGGTGTTTGGCCAATAACGTTCCACCATGTTAGTGGTAGCTGGGCAAAGGCAGTTTTGCTGAGTCACTCCTATGCAGAAGTATGATAGCTTAGAGTCAGGTTGCCAAACTCTAGCCAGGCTCAGGAAATTCCAAGTAGGCCTTGTGTCCAGGCCTTTTTGAGCCCAACACAGGTCCTTTTCAAACACTTCAGAGATTCATAGAATATAGCATTTAACATGTCTCGTTTTCATAAGAACCTGTTACTAAAACATGTCTGCTCCTGGCAGCACCAATCTACTTCAGAGAAGATGATGGGCGTAGAAGAGACTCCACGTGGAGTTTGAGTTCTTTGTGGTAAAGGCAAGCTGCTGGGCAAGAAAGTGCCCTTGCCTCAACTGCTGACAGTGTGCTGTCCACACTGGACACACGGGACACCAAAAACAGTGACTGCAAACCTTGCCAAGACAAAGCGGTCCAGTCCTTCAGGCTACCCTGGTTCACAGAATGTCTGTCAGATGTGCTAGGCCTATAAGCTGAAAAATGGATGCTCCAACATTGCAGAGGAATCCTTGGTGACTGTCCAGGCATCCAGCTGTTTCTGTCATTACATTTTTTGGAAGCTGCTTGCTCATACTTCCTGTCTACTCAGTTAATGTTTCCTTCTTGGGACTCTGAAGGAGTTGAAGACTAAATAGTTTTCCCTGTTTATCAGAATCAGTAAAACAACTCACTATAGATTAAGTGCATATCAAATTTCTAATGTCTTTTAAACCTATTACAAAGTAGAATAGAAAGTAAGTCAGGTACAAGACTCTCAACCCATCAAGAAAGAATTCTCAGAATGGACTAGACATTGTACTTATTGCTATGCAGATGTTGTAGATAGTTATTCTTATTATACATAGTTTTTCTCAACTTTATTTAGACAAAAGGGGATATGTGATTTATTGAACAACTACAGCCTATCTGGGGGGTCACAATGGAGCTTGCCTCTAGCTTAACCATAGAGGTCTGGAAGTCAAGACAGACAGGAAGTAATGTAGCAGGGAGAAACAAGATAAAAGGAGACGCTTAGGAAACACAGGGGTACTGTGGCTTACTCCTCCTCTCAGATCTCAGCACTTCCCTCTGACTCTGTCCTTTTATCTAGACCAATTAAGAACTCCATTTACACACAATTTCACCAGGACTATAACACCATTAAGCTGAACGATACCAACTAAAGATTGACTTTGAAGTACAAACTGCTCAGAACAATTTCCAGGTGGTTAACTGAAGATGAATCCAGTCTTACAGACTACTCTAGCCAGAAAGTAAACATGGTTTACTTTCTATGTGGCAACAGTATCTACTGGGCCAGAAAGTGCCTTAGCCTTGACAGCTGACAGTATGCTGTCCAAATTTGACAAACAGGACACAAAAGAGAATGACTGCCAAACCTTGCCAAGACAAGATAGAACAGTCCTTCAGGAAGTCCTGCTTCACAGAAAAGTCTGTGCCCTGCTGGCCAGGGCAAGGTTTGTTCACACACATACTAGGACTTAAAACAAGTTCCAGTCTCTCACCAAGGGAGGAGCCAGGAACTGGGCTGCTTCCTAACTACCTACCTATGTGCTAGGCAGTTTCTAGCCCTGCCGAGTGTGGTGTATTCTCAATGGCTGCAATAGGTTGGTTCCTAGGATTTTCACAAAGCAGTTTTGAAAGACCCCCCCCCTCAAAAACAAGCTAAGGGAAAGAGGGAGCAGGGTTTGGTTTCTAAACCAACAAGCACCCAGATGTTTCTTGAGATAAGAACAGGCAGGGCGTCCTGCAACCTCTCCAGGCAGACAGATTGCCCCCACTTCCCGAGCCCTCCCAAACTGGAATTTCCCCAAAAGCACCGTATGTGGCCTTTTCTTTGTCCAATCAAAAATGGACTCATGTCTTATGATGATCGTGTGGTCCTTGCCTTTTTAAAAGGAGTTTGCAATAGCTGATCGGGGCTTCTCTGCCTTGCCTGGCTGGGGAGCCCATTTGCGCAAACTCAAAATAAAATCCTCTTGCTTGTTGCATGTCCTGGTCTGGAGTCGGAGTCTGTGGAGCATCCACCTGGATACGTTGGAACCCCAGAGTTTGGGGGTCCAACAGTTCTTAAAGATTTAGTTTTTAAAGTTGTATCCACGTGTATGTATAAGCCCAGGAGCCTAAGGAGGGCAGGAAGGGGGTATCTAAGTTGCAGAGCTGGGGTTGTTAGCCATGGTACAGGTTCTGTGAACTTAACTGTTCCCTCTGCAAAAGTTGTAGGAGCTCCTAACCATGGAACCATCACTCCAGACCCAAAGCAACATTAATTGATATTTTTCTGTCTCATAGGTCATCAACCTGCTTAGCATTTCCAAGGATGTATGGCAGCCAGACATTCTCTATTCTACCATTTTGTTGTTCCTCTCCCTTGGGTCCTCTGTGCCATTTCTCCCATCTCTTCCTGCCCTCAACCCCTTTGGGGAGGGCTTTTTCAGGTTTTCAAGCACCTCCCCTGCAGGGGCAGACAGAAGAGTTGCAAGTTCTGCTTCGGAGCCTGATGGACATGGAGTCCCAGGGTACCTACATGGGTTAGTCCATAGCCAGTGGTAAAACCAAACAACTTTTTTAAATTTTAATTTATTGACTCTTTGGGAGTTTCACATCGTACATTCCAATTCTGCTCACCTCCTAGTCCCCCCCCCATACCCTCCCCTCATCCCTGCTTCTCAAGTGAACAAAAGCAAAAACAAAACCCAAAACCTAAAACCAGAAAGATCTCCTTGCTGCTTCTCTCCTGCCTCTCCAGCGCCTAGCCACTGGTCCTAGTGGCATTGGAGGCTTCAGTGTGTCACTTAGTAAACCTCTTGGTCCCATCAGATTCACTGGAAAATGTTCATTTCAGTGAGGCACTGGTCTAGTTCAAGGCCTCTGTGAAACCAAACTCTTACCCCAGTTTCTGCATCCGGTTAAGCTGCAGCTGCCCTCTGCCGAGCCCTGACCCAGTCACCCTTTCATCCTTGGTCCTGCTTCCCCAGCTCCTCTCTGCTGTAGTTTCTTGTTCCTGTGAGAGAATACCATCAAAAGCAACCTAAGGAAGGGAAGGACCACTCTGGCCCAGTTTGAGGTTACAGTCCATGGGGGAGGGGTGGAGACAGTCAGGAGGCTGAGGTCTTTCTGCAATATGCATGCAGCCTCCAGCTCTTCCTGGTTCGTCTTTGACACCAAATAGCCCTTATTTTCTCTCCCCCCACCCCGCCCTGTTTCCCCCACCTGTCATGTGTCTTCTACCCCACAAGTGCCCCCCCCCCGTAGGAAAAAAGGACCAACCAAAGAAACACATTTTGACCCTGAAACCAGAACCAAAGAAATGTACCCTGACCCTGAAACCGGTGCCAAAAGAACACACTTTGGCCCTGGAATCGGAGCCTCATTCCTTCCTCCCCTTTCTTCCGTCTCTAATCATAAACACCTTACATTGTGTCTATCATAGTGATGGCTTCCAGAGAAGCCGGATCATGGTATCGGGCAGGGGACAGGCGACAAAAGCCACACTTCAGCCTTCTACGTATGTGAAGGGGGAAAATGGACAAGTACAGCATAGTCAAGGAATAGGCACTTGGCTCTACTCCAGTGTTCTCCACAGCCTGAACTCTGTTGCAAGGGGAAGGGTGAAGGGATCATCCAAGGGGGCCTGGAGCATTTGGGAGCATCTACAGGGATATGGGTAGCTACAATAAGGTATATTTGCCCGTCACATACCCCACATGGTGCAGGGGGACCTATCCGTCTGCACGTAGTTGTCACTGTACCTCCAGGAGCAGTAGTGAGCATGGGAGCCAACTTGGGTCCTCTTGCATTTTTCTGTGTAACGTTCTCCTTCCCACCGTGAGGCTGATCATGGCCTTCAGGCAATTTTTCCAAGTGAGCTGCATGTTCTGGTGGAAACTTCATGTCTGCTTCCTTTCTGGACGCCCCCACTGCTGTTTTATTATAAATCTCTTACAAACACTTGTGAGTTCTGGCTATCAAACTTGGGTTTTCAGTAAGAATTTTACCTAACTGAACCACACACCCACGCCCCTCCAGCCTTGTCTCCAGAGTTTTAAAGATGGTAACCACCAAGCCTAGGTCCTTCCTCCAGCAAGTAATAATGTCCACATGATCTAGACAGCTTAGAGTTTACAGATCACTTAGCTCAGTAGCTTAGAGTGAATGGAGCCCAGTGTGGGGATCCTCAGTTAGTTCCTTGTTCTGTGCCTGGTTGTGGTGGTGCACGGGAGATGTCAGTCACACAGTGGGGTGACGCACACGTCTTCCTTGTACTTGCTGGCTTTGTGGTCTTGAGTAAATCATGTCACCTACTTGAGCGTGTGTCTTCATCACCTGCAGGATGATGGGAATGACAGGAGACTGAGCACCGCGGAGCGGGGAGCCCGGCAGTGAGCACCGCGGAGCGGGGAGCCCGGCAGTGAGCACCGCGGAGCGGGGAGCACGGTGTGAGCACCGCAGAGCGGGGAGCCCGGTGTGAGCACCGCCGAGCGGGGAGCCCGATGCTGATCTGAGCTCGATGGCTGTGACGAGCAGGTTTGATTTTAAAGTCACGTGTTGACTTTGCCTCTGCCTCTCATTTCAAAGCTCCTACATGGGAGCCCTGAGAGGCAAAGGTGAGGCTTAGGTTCTGAGCGTGGACCCCAAGTGTAGAGGCTGAGCACGAGGCTCGGCACATGGGGTATCAGCACAGTCGTCCCCAGAAAGGAACACACGTGTAGACAGGTCAAGAAAGGCACTACACACCTCTGTGGACCAGAAAACAAGACCTGCCCAGGTCTTTCCTTTGTATTCAGACCCACTCTCTGGCCCTCGGCACCCCACTCTCTGCTCTCATCTGGCTGGGGCTCATAGGCTGTGTTCTGTTCTCAACAGGAGGTGAGAACAGGAAGGACCCCAGCCTGTCCTCAGGGAACTCTAGTCAGAGGTGAGCACACCTGTTTTCAGGGGGTTCCAGCCTGAGGGGGTCACATCTGCCTTCAGGGGATGGAGGGAAACTGCCCTGTGAAGGGGTCCCCTGGGGAGAGGAACAGTCTGAGGCAATCCTCAAGGACGTAGAAGGTGGGAGATGAACCCTAAAGGGGACTACCACACTGACACAAAGGAGGCCTGCAAACCCGTGCAGGTGTCATGAGACTTAAATTTAATGTCGTCTGTAAGTGTGGCATAAATCCTGATAGGTGCCCTCATGAGGAGGCCTCTGTGTGGGGTGGTGATGCTCTTTCCCGCTCTACTCCTTTGACTTATGTGGGGGCCACCACCAGCTCCCCAATAAATCGCACACAGAGGCCTATTCTTTATTATGAATGCCCAGTCTTAGCTTGGCTTGATGCTTGCCAGCTGTTTGTAACTTAAAATATCCGACTATCTTTTACCTCTGGCATTTTCCCTTTTTTTTTTTTTTCTGAGACAGGATTTCTCTGTGTAGCCCTGGCTGTCCGGGCACTCGCTCTGTAACCCAGGCTGTCCTGGAACTCAGATCCGCCTGCTTCTGCCTCCCGAGTTTGGGATTAAAGGCATGTGCCACCAACGCCTGGCACATTTCCCTTTTCTTACTTCTGTATGACTTTCCTTCTTACTCTGCGGCTGGCTGGGTGGCTGGTCCTGACATCATCCCCTCCTTGTTCTTTTGCTCTTGCCTGGCTATTGGCTGTTCAGCTCTTTATTGGGGCCATTGGGTGTCGCACTTACTGTTGTGCGCTCTGCTCTGGGGTCTGGGCGTTCTGGACTTGGCGAGTCACATTTAGGTCCAGGAGTAACTCTGAGTTAATTTTGTGAAATTTTCTCAGTCTTTGTCCAAAGTATTTCTTAAGAATGGTGTCCCAGAAACAGTTCTAGAAAAGACTGCTCAGTGGATTTCCTTTGCTGCTTTTATCAGAGGTCTGCCTGGGAAGCTCAGGAAGGGTTGACAGGCGAGAAGAGCCTGCTGTATAGCGGGTGGCTCTTTGAAAGTAGCCTTGGCACTGAGGAGTCCACAGAAGAAGCAGTGCTGCGTTCCTGCCCGCCTTCACATCTTGTGGTGCCACTGTCCCGCCGCCGCCGCCACAGCCATCACCGCCACAGCCACCCTCCACTGGGGACTGGAGACCAGAAGCTGTCCAGGTGTGCCCCAGGCCTTTGGCACCAGGTTGGAGCCTCTGCATCATGGAGACGGCCATTGTTGGACTGTCCAGGCCGGATCAGGATCTGGTGAGCTTTGAGGATCTGGCTGTGAACTTCACCCAGGAAGAGTGGGATCTGCTGGATTCTTCTCAGAGGAGTCTCTATGGAGATGTGATGCTGGAGACCTGCCGGAACCTCACTGCCATAGGATATGAATGGGACGACCAGGCAGTTGGAGAACATTATGAAGAACCTGAAATAAATCTAAGGCACATCGTCTCTCACTCTGAATGCACACAGTATGAAAATGAGGCGTATGAACAGAAGCCACAGGACTCTGATTTTCTTACAAGGGTTGAAGGACACACGGAGACTCCGACTTCGAGTGGGCCTTCTGTGTGTGAAGTGTGTCTAAAGACCTTTGGACTGTATCACCTGACTTACAATGGACATCACAGCTATGACTACAAGGAAGTTGGAGGAAGCCAGACTGATGAAAATGATGATGATGGTAATCAGTGTGATAAAACTTCCAGTTCCCTTCAAAAACAAGAGAAAAATCATACTGGGAAAAAACTGTCAAGAGTGTGGTAAGGCCTTTAGGTATCCCAGTGCCCTCCAATTGCATGAAAGAATTCACACTGGAGAGAAACCCTATGAGTGTAAAGACTGTGGGAAAGCCTTCAGAGGCCTCAGCGCCCTCCATTTGCACGAGAGGATTCACACTGGAGAGAAGCCCTACGAGTGTAAGCAGTGTGGCAGAGCCTTCACGTATCTCAGTGCCCTCCAGTTACACGAAAGAATTCACACCGAGGAAAGACCCTGTGAGTGTAAACTGTGGGAAAACCTTCAGATATAGCAGGGCCCTCAAGTTACATGAAAGGATTCACACTGGAGAAAAGCCCTATGAATGCAAACAATGTGGGAAATTCTTTAGAAGTCACAGGACCCTTAAGTTACATAAAAGAATTCATACTGGAGAAAAGCCCTATGAGTGTAAAGAATGTGGGAAAGCCTTTAGGTGGCTTACTTCTCTGAAGTTACATGAAAAAATTCATACAGGAGAAAAACCCTATGAATGCCAAGAGTGTGGGAAAGCCTTCAAGTGTCAGGCTTCCTATCATAGACATAAAATCACTCATGGTGGAGAGACGTTGTATGAGTGTAAGCAGTGTGGGAAGTCCTTCATTTACCCCTCCCTACTTCAAGTGCACGAGAGAACGCACACAGGAGAAAAGCCCTATGAGTGTAAGCTGTGTGGGAAAGCCTTCAGATGTCAGTCTTCGCTTCGATTGCACGAGAGAACGCACACCGGAGAGAAACCCTACGAATGTAAACACTGTGGCAAAGCCTTTTCAAGTTACAATTATCTTCGATTTCATGAAAGAAGCCACACTGGAGAGAAACCCTATGAATGTAAAGAATGTGGTAAAACTTTCACACATCGCTCTTACCTTCGATCACATGAAAGACGACACACTGGAGAGAAACCGTATCAGTGTGTTCAGTGTGGCAGATCCTTTAGTCGGCATAGTTCCTTTAAAAGACATCAGTCCGTTCATGGAGTGGAAAACCCATATGAATGCCAAGAGTATCTAATTCCTTTATCCCCATTTCCTTCAAATGAATGAAAGAACAGATATCAAACCCTTTGAATGTAAATGATGTTACAAAATATCCCCATCCACATAAGACACAGTCGGGAACTCAAAACAGGGATGGAAGAGCCTTTTATATGTAAGCTGTGGCATAGCCTTTCAGGGGTCAGGGTGTCCTTCAAATTCATGAAGGAATTCATGCTGGACAAAGTTTGTATTTGTTACCAATGTGGTAAATGTCACTTGTCATACTTCTTTTCAGAGAAGTAAGTTAATTCATGCTGGTCAAATGCCCTATGAATGTACAGGATATGGTTAGTCTTTCATTTATCCCTTTTTGCCTTAAAATCATGAAAGAACTCAGTGGTGAAAAACCACATGAATATAAGCAATGTGGAAAAGACGTCAGGTGTCACAGGTCCTTTCAGTAACATGAATGAAATCTCATGATGGAGAGAAAATGTGAATGTAAAGTGTATTAAAACCTTTAGATATCATTGCTCCTTTAGATTCCATGAATGAACTCATGCTGGAAGTAGTTTTCCAAGTAACAATAAAAGCTGTGAGGCCTTCAAGGTCACAGTTCTATCAGAAACTTACAGTGATGGATGGTGGGCAGTTCTGTCAGTGTAAGAAGTGTGGGAGCTTGGTGGGTGCCGGGAGATGGACATTTCCATTACAGTGGCTGCCCGTGACTTGCCTGGATTCTTGTAAATACCCCCAATTAAACTCGGTGGTTCCTCAAGCTAAAAAAAAAAATCACTTAGACAGGTAAAGAATCACTTAGACAGGTAAAGAATCACTTAGACAGGTAAAGAATCACTTAGACAGGTAAAGAATCACTTAGACAGGTAAAGAATCACTTAGACAGGTAAAGAATCACTTAGACAGGTAAAGAATCACTTAGACAGGTAAAGAATCACTTAGACAGGTAAAGAATCACTTAGACAGGTAAAGAATCACTTAGACAGGTAAAGAATCACTTAGACAGGTAAAGAATCACTTAGACAGGTAAAGAATCACTTAGACAGGTAAAGAATCACTTAGACAGGTAAAGAATCACCCCTTCACATAGTTAAACAAATGCAGCTAAACAAAAGTCACACACCTTAAAATAATATCCCCCAACAACCCTGTTGCAGCTGGCCTGCCTGCAGCTCTGGTTTGGTGTTGACGAAGTGAGACTAAGGCACTCTATTTATCTACCCTGGTGCCTGCCTTGGGGACCTCTGGAGCCGAGTGGCATGAGGGCGTGTTCCCCCACTAAGGCCACAGAGCTTAAGGAGCTCACATCTGGACTGGCTTTCCAGGCATGCTCTCCACCAGCAGCTGGCCCTTGTGCTGGCCTCTTCCAGTCCCAATAGAGAGACTGAAGAGGGGGTCTGGGAGCAGGCCCATGAAACAGGGTGTGCACCAGGACTCAAGGACTTCAGAAGACCCCAGATGACCAGACTCTCCAGAGCTGTCCTCCTCAGCTGTCCTTCAGCGAGCCTTGGGCCTGATGCCACACAGAGCAGCCACCTGACAGTGGTTTGGGTGGCATCCACTCAGCCCTCTGTGAACACCTCAGCTCTAGTTAGAACTCAGCCTTCTCTAAATCACCCCTTTCTGTATCTTCTGAGCACGGACTGGTCTGCACCCCTGTGCACAGGAAGTGAAAAGGGGAGGCCATCCCTTCTGCCAGGAAGACACCTCTGCACCAGGGTGCTGAGGCCATGGGAGTGAGCAGGGCCTAGGCCCTTGAATGCAGACTAGGGACCTTTGGGTGAGGTCACAGCATCCCTTGAGCAGGGATCAGTACCTCCTGAGCCAGGCTTCCCCTCCCCCAGGATGGCCTTTGCAACTCAAGAGCCCCACACATCATCAATCCCATGTCTCACTTAAGGACACCGGACGTGAGGGAGGGAGCCTGGCCTAGCTTCAAAGGCCTGAGGGCAGGATGGATTGTGTCCTCAGGCTTGCTGCTGTCTCTTAAAAGCCAGATGGGGGTGGGCTCAAGCCCCAAATGGACCAGAGCATGCCCTGCTCCTTGGGGCTGCTGGCAGAGAGCCCAGCCCAGCACCGCTCAGCATCTAGGAACAGGGGAGGCAAGGGAAAAAGAAGCAAGCCTGTGTTAGCCCAGCTCACACCCTCTGCTCAGCAACCTGGCCTCCCAGCATCCACCTGGCCTCTGGTAGGAATCTCTGCAAGGTTTGTGGGGGCTTGCTAAGCCTCAGTCACCCTGCAGAGTATCTGGTTCTCACTATCAGCAGAGGCGGCTTGATACACTGGGAGGAGGAGCCGGTGGAGGCGAAACTACAAAATCAATTTTACAGACCCAGCTCTTCTCTCGACAAGGGATTTATAGATCCAATTGCCTGTGAGAGCGATGACATTGATGGGGAACCTGCAACAGGATAGCTGCCTAAATGTTAGGTGAGCATCTGTTCTCACTGCAGGGGGCCTAACTACCCCGTTGCTGCTGGAGGGCTGACTCCCATCTCTTCCCCCTAAGACTGCAGGATAGCACAAGATGCCAAGGAAGTTGTGTAAGCTGTTAACTGCATGACTCCAGGGAGCACTGCTGCTGACTGAGCCTATATGCAGGTTGCCCTGATGCAATGCTGCGTACAGAGGCCTGATCCCAGACAGGCCTCCGTGGCTAAGGCCTGGCCCTGCCCTGTAATGACCGGTGTTGGAGAGAGCTGTGATACTGAAAGTTTCATAGCAATGCAGTGTGATGTCATCAACAAGGATTAACATATCTAATGCCCAACCAGCAGCCTCTAGAACAGACGAGAGGAGAGGCATGGGTGGGGGAGGAGGGGGTAGATAGCATAGCTGTGGTGGGAAAGATGGGGGTATGCACTTGGGCTGCTGTGACAGCCACGAGACAAGCTCCCCGAATGCAGTGAGACCCATGGGTCACTTGGGCTCATGTTTCCTTACCGGTTGAGCATGGGTTTCTTCTTTGCTGACGACCCTTCTGGAAGCCGTGGCCTGTGGTCTGGGAATAGACCTGAGTGCAAGAACACATAGTCAGTCTGCACAGTTCTGAGAGGGCCAGGGGCACAGAATCGCTGTTCTGCTCACGGCTGCTCTCTCAGCTCTTCCTGCAGTCCCCACCCCTCTCTGCGGTGGGGCCTCTGACCTGCTCGGTGCGCCATCTTCACACACTCCTCGACCTTTCGGTGCTCCTCCAGGCACAAGCCTGTGACAGTCCGGGGCAGCATGCCTCCATGAGGTCGGATGAATTGCCTGAGCAGCAACACATCCTAGCGAGAACGAAACGGGAGCTGGGTCAGCTGGGTTCCTTGTGCGCTGGGAACCAGGACTGTGGGCCTCAGGCGTCCCACAGGATACCTCAGTGGGGTTCCTATTTCCCACTGCTAACAACGGGCTCCCAGCACCTCCCCAGACATCTTCTGACACATCAGGTGAGACCAGAAATGCTCTAGTGAGTGTTTTGCCACCAGTATTTCTTGGGAGTAAGATGTCTGGCAGTTTGTCAGGGAGTTGTAGTGCACACCTTGAATCCCAGCATTTGGGAGGCAGAGGCAAGCAGATCTCTGAGTTCGAGGCCAGCCTGGTCTACAGAGCGAGTGCCAGGTCAGCCAGGGATACACAGAGAAATCCTGTCTCAAAACCAAAAACACCCCAGGCAGTGGTGGCCCTCAGCTTTAGTTAATGCCAGCTTTGGGGAGGCCGAGGCAAATGGATCTTTGTGGGTTCACCTGGTATACAGAGCAAGCTGTGGAATGGCCAAAGAGCTGTTATACAGAGAAATCCTGTCTCAAAACAAACAAAACCAAAATAAACCCAAACAATTAAATAAACAGATAACATGTCTTTGGTCACCGATCACTTTCCTCGGCTGGGATGGGTCATGTAAAGTATTTCCACGAGAGGCAACGCCTGTCCCATCCCAGCCCCAGACTCCAGAAGGCACAGGTAGAGCGCATACAGACGGCGCTCGCCTGCTGCTCCTGCTCAGCTGCCTGGCAGGCACCAAGCGGAGAGAAAGGGAGGCGGTCTGAAGTCCAGTCCGTCTTCCCTGATCCAGATGGGATGGGTCCTTGGGCTTCCTGGTCACACACCTAGCAAGCTGATAAGAAACCCTCTCTCCCGCCATGCTTGACTCAATGGATTAAGTAAACTCGTCCCTACTAGGGCCCAATGCCAGCCTTTGTCCCGTTACTAAATTGCTGCCTTGGCTGCCTTGCTGTGTAACTGCAAATCTGTTTTAGTCACTGGACAGCTCCCGGGGACCCTGAGGCCCAACTCTTCAGAAGCAGGTAGCAGAGTTGGACTGACGCACAGCTAACTTGCTGGCTGGCATCCTCTGCAACCTTCACTGCAGGCGCCAGGCCAGGCGACAGCAGCACAGCGTGGGTCAACAGTGCTCCAAGTAGAAAGGGAAAAAAGGAAAAACAGCTTCAGCCTTTACCTTGGAGAGGATTACATTTCTTTCCTGGAAACGGCTGGGCAGGTGTGGGCTCTGCCTCCCTATCTGCAGCTGGGATTACAAGCAGCCAGTATATTCACTGACATCCATGAGACCAGAGCTCTGAACTCAGCCTTCTGTACTGTAGGCCCTTATTTTCAGATGAAACAGGACAGGGTGAGAGTCATGCCCCGCCCCCACACTTGGGGGTGGACTGAAGCCAAGGTCCCCAGCCCAGGAGATTAGTTGGGTCACTCTGTTCAGATCTTCCTGCATTCATCATCTGACCAGGATCTCTGCCCTTAGCCATCCTGTGCCTTAGAGGGGATCTAGGACAACACACAGGTCAAACTGGCCCAGAGCTGGAATCACCTGGAACCCCCCAAAAGAGTGCCCATGCCACAGTGAGAACTCTGAAGAACAAGTGTGGGTACCCAGGACTGACTAGGCCCTGTCTTCTCTGCAGGGTAGGAGTTAGCACAACATGGGCTCTGCCTGGCTTCCCAGCCTGATACTTAGTGTGGGAAGGTTATTAACTTCTTCATGTCCAGGGTTCCCTCACTGCAAAGCAAGGATGAAGTCCCCACTTCATGGAGTCAATTAGAAGCCTAAGGGCAGGAAAGATGGCTCAGTCAATACAGAAATTGCTATGCCTGACTACCTGAGATTGATCCCTAGGATTCACATGAAGGAAGGAGAAAACTGACCTCCATGAGTGTGCTGTGGTATCTGTTCCTTCACACATACACACATTCCTCAAAAGAAAAAAAAAGTGATGCCGGGCAGTGGTGGCCCACACCTTTACTCCCAGCACTTGGGAGGCAGGAGGATCTCTGAGCTCAAGGTCAACCTGGACTGCAGAGCTACTCCCAGGATAGTCAGGGCTACACAGAAAACCCTGTCTCGGAAAACGATCCAAACAAAGTAAGTTAATATGCCCGTGACTGCTCAGGTCATGGCCTATTGGAGCAGGCCCCTACTCATGCTGCCTGTGCTGGGTATGTTCATGATCACCTCCTTGCCCAGAAGGGTGGTCTGGAGCTGCACTGTGGAGACTAAGATGTGTCTGTAGGCCTCATGACCTTGGGGAGAGAGCCAGATCCTAACCTGATTTCCTTCCTGTGAGAACTACCTCGGCCCTGCTGAAGCAGTCCATGAACTCCATGTTTCCAGCTCCGCAGCCTGTGAGAGCTTTACAAATGCCCAAGTCTCTTTGAGGCTGAGTTGTAGGAGCAACAATTTACCTTTAAAACATGTACGTGTATAAGAGGTTGCCAGCATGTATACATGTACACTGCATGCTTACTCAGTATCCTTGGGGGACATGAGGGCACTGGATACTCTGGAACTGGAGTTGTGGGTGGTTTTGAGGGGCCGTTTGTGTGCTGGGAGCAGAACTAATGTCCACTGCAAGAGCAGCAAACAAATGCTCTTTACCGCTGAGCTTTCTCCCCAGCCCCGTACATCTTTACATTTCTATTTTTGAGATTGTCTCATGCATGTAGGTATTTTGGGGGCACACATGTACAAATACCATGTACATGCACTGCCTGTGGAGGCCAGAAGAGGGCGTGGATCCCCTGGGAGCTGAACCCCTGTCCTCTGGGAGAGCAGCCAGTGCTCTTAACCACTGGGCTTTCTCTCCAGCCTGCAGCCCGGGATCCTCAAAGTCTCTTAGAGTCTACCACACAGTCAGATTTCAGGTCCATTGTCTCTGGTGGCCATGTGAAACGCAGCTGTCACTACCTGAGGACAAGGCTCCAGGTAAGAGGACTCTGGCCCCAGTGGATGCAGGGTGATGGTCTTCACGGTCACACTCACCTCATAGTTATATTTGTGCTTCAGGTTCCAACGGCAGATGGGGCACTGGCCTGAGGGGTTAGGGGGGTTTGGAGTTGCCTGGGGAGTTTCTGTGATTCGGCCTTCAATCTACAAGGGAAAAAGAAAACCAGTGTGAGAGCCTGGGCCAGGCATACAGGACTTTAACTCTGAGCACACACCAAAAGAATACCAGTCAAGCTTACTTCCGGGGGTCTCATGGCAGCAGCTGACAGGTCTGCCTGCGTGGTGATTTTCTATAGCTGCTCTCTGCTGGGCCTTGGCCACAGGGACGTGGCTTGGTGGCCAGGTAAGTGATGCACACCTGTAAGCCCAGCAGTGGGTGGCAGAGGCAGGAAAAGTGGAAGTTCAAGGCTAGCCTGGGCTGCACAGTAAAGTTCTAAGTCGGCAGGGGTTACATGGTAAGACTCTTGCCTCAAAAAAACAAAGCAATGATGATATCAGACAGACATATAAAGTGGTAAGTAGAGTAATAGTTCTTAACCTTCCTAATGCTGTGACCTTTAACACAGTTCTCCATGTGGTGGTGACCCCTAGCCACAACATTATTTTTGATGTTACTTCATAACCAATCTTGCTCCTGTTATGAATTGTAATGTAAGTACCTTTGGGAGTTGTGACCCACAGTTTGAGAACTGCTGAACTAGAGGGAAGGGTTTGCCACATCAACTGAATGCTACCTTCCCTTCCTCAACAAAGCACAATAAAACACCTGAACCCTAGGGCTTCCTCCTGCACCCGGGAAAGGTGACACAGGCGCATGGCTGAAAGCTCCAATGGGCGGGAGATGCTCAGCAGCTAAGAGCACCCGCTGCTCTTGCAGAGGACTGGCCTTTGCTTTCCCAGAACCCCAGTTCCGGGGGAATCTGATGCCCTCTCCCGGCCTCCAAGGGCACCTGTATGCACATGTACACAAGCAGACAACCAGACACACACATGCAAAAAGTGCCAGATGGTAGAGATTCCCTGTTCAAAGAAAGCGCCCACCCACTCTCTACGCCATCTGCAGAGAGCACTGCTTCCCGCTTTATGGGACAGAGCCGGACCTGTGCTAGCAGGTTCCAGTAACAGGGTTTTTCCCGTCGGGCCATGTCTGAGGCCATTTCTGACTAGACATTTCTGACTGGACAGCTGGAGGAAAGGGTATGATGGGCATCTAGCAAGGATGCACAGGGGAGCCCTCACAACAAAGAACGCCAGTCACTGGGAACAGCCAGACAAGTGGGTGTCTGTGCACGGTTGCTCCTCCCTTCCTCCGCAAACAAACAGAAAACATGGGCCTCCTAGAAAACAAACCAGGGTCCCACTAGGTAGGCTTAGCTGGCTTCGATCTTGTTAGACCAAGTGGGCCTCATATTTGCAGTGAATCTCTTGCCTTTGTTATGGGATTACAGCTCTCTTTACCTCTATCATCTTGGATAACACCTTTCAAACACCCTGCAGAGGCCACGTGTGGCATGACCTTCATGTCATGACTGTACCCTGTGACCCAGCCTTGGAATGGCTACGTGTACTAAAGCGATGATCTGGGAGTCCGCTCCAATTGCAGGGGGAGCTTTGCAGGCCACGCTGAGGCTGAGCCTAAGAACATGGCTGGGGTGGATTTGAGAGGCACAAGAACAAAACTAATCCTGTCCCCTGGGCTGAGGAAGCCTGGAAGTTCTGCTCAGCTATGTCAGGCACCACCCTCCACCCCCACTTCTACCATGGCAACTCCAAGCACGTCAGAAGGAAGCTGTGGGCAGGGAAAATCTGCAGGTGCATGGGAGGCCTAGTGGGCCCCAGGAGAGAGCCACTGCTCATTGGCTACTGTTATTAGGCTGCTTCTGCACTAAGAATGGTTCACATGTACCAGTTCATCTAACTCCCACAACTTAGCGCTGCTGCGGTCAGATCTGATTTTGGAGACCACGCACCCACAGTCAGTCACAGCAGCACCTGACAGGGCCGCAGTGTCTCCATGTTCCTCTACAGACAGCAGACCCATGCTCACATGAAAGCCCTCTCTGCACTTAAAAGTCAGATGTGGACAGCACCATTGACTGGGAAGCCAGCCTTCGATTCTGAATGTCTACCACGTTTGCTTCTCTTAGAGATGCTGTTATTGGTGGTGAACTACTAGCTGGTTCTGAAGTCTGCCAGTCTTCAAGGGGAAGTGGACATAGTCAACAGAAGAATAAGGGACATTCTGCTAAGCCAGGAAGAAGGCGGGGCCCATTAGCACGTCAGCAGAGATGCAGTGGGTAGGGGGCACTCTCTTAGCACTGAGCACTCTGTCTGTACCCAGAAAAGCAGAAGCAAGATGCCACTTCGAAAGTCTCCTGTCAGGCTGGGTGTGGTGGCACACACCTTTATTCCTAGCACTCTGGAGGCAGACGTAGGCAGATCTCTTGAGTTTGAGGGCAGCCTCGTCTACAGAGTGAGTTCCGCACAGCCAGGGCTGCAGAGAAACACTGTCTTGAAAAACAAAAGCATCAAGTTTATAGGATGAATGCTTTTTGTCATTTGAGACAGGGTCTCATGGAGCCCAGGCTTGTGTTGAACTCACTATTGAGCTGAGGAGAGCCTGGAACTCCCAATTCTTCAAGTACTGAGATTACAGACATGCACAATCATGCCCAGACTGTCTTAGGTTTTAATGAGAGACCTAGATGCCCAAAGGGGATGCAGTCCCCTAAAAAGTAAGCCTTAGGTGGAGGCCAACCAGTAGAAAGGACAAGGAGGAATTCTAGGAGAATGACTGGATTTCTCCTGGGTAGAAGACAGCCTGGGGGAGGCCTATATGGTCTGGCTGCCAGAGAGGTTAAGCCCCTGGGTGACATGGAAGTTCCTGAGCCTTCTGGGAGCTCTGAGAGGTGGCTGAGAATGTCTTGGAGGCAGAGGAGGCCATGTGAAAACAAGGCTGTCTTTTAAGGATTATGGGATAATCTAGGCCCCATGACTGACTCCCCAGGGGAGGTGACGGCCCAGTGAGGGAGGGGCAGGGTGGAAGAGTCCTTCACTCCAGCTTTCTCACCGAGACAACCAGGGTGCCAGCCAGGAAGTTAGGGCCTAGGGACTGCCAGCTCTTAAGGGTACATACACTTTCTAGACAGAAAGCAAGGACCAGAAGTCCAGGCCCTGGCTCAGGGCCAACTAACTCTGCTTCTAAAGGCCTGCAACCCTGCCTTAGTTTCCCCTTTGGGAAACTGATCTGTCACCTGCCAGAGAAAGTATTAGAAAAGGCCTCTGGGACTGTGTCATACAAAAGGTCACTTCAATCAAGTAACAGATACCTCAGTGCAGGCATAGCGACGGCTCTTGATTAACCACATTACGGCACACAGCCCGGAAAATAGACTTCAAAACTGATGGTCTCAGAGGGAGCAGATCCTGGAGCCAGGAGTCCAGATTGGACCTCCCTCCCTCCCTCCCTCCCTCCCTCCCTGAGAGGAGCAGCCAGGCGGCTCCGAGCGTTAAGGAGGCCGTTAGTGGCCAGCGCAGCGCAGTGATACTTACCACAGTTGTCTTCCCTTCTTGGATCTCCACCACTACAGAGATAAAGGGGGAAAATTAGGTCAGCCATTTAATAAGGAACAGGGAGTTTCAAATAACGGCTCAAATTCTACACAGGCAAAGGAGAGGAGCCTGCAGCCTGTACTCTCCCACGGTCCCTGCCTGGGACAGAAAGTGGGCAAGGTTCACCCCCAAGTGCCAAGACTCTATGCCCTTGAGGCTGGCTGTGGGCAAGCCTGGGGTGCTCAGGGTGCAGCATCTCCCTGCGATTAAGGGTCTCCATGCTGGTTTTTGCCCTTTGAAGCTGAGATTCACCCTGATTCTGTCTAGAATTGGCAAACTGAATAGCTGCGGCAGGAAAACTGGTGTAAGTTTGAAACAGTCTTACTTTGTAGCCCAGGCCTCAAAGACTTTAAGCAAAGAGGGGCAAGATCCTATCCTATGTAGCAAAAATAGCTGAGAGCTTTTGGAACAGCAGGCCTGAAGTGACCAGAAGGGCCTCTTACACATGTCCCTTTACAATCTGAATCAGACCAAAGTGGCTTTGATGTTGAAGGGTTTGCAACCTAAAACACAGGACTATCTGTGTTCCAGTGGTGGCTTTTCACGGAGACAAATCCAACCCAAAACGTATCCTGAGAATCCTGTGCCAAGACTGCATGAAACTGGCTACATCCTTTTCATGTCTCCCTGAAGGGTCATGTTCTATTGTCACACCAGAGAAAGGGGTGGAAGAGGTAGCAATCAGGAGCCCGAAGACAGCATCAGCAGGGCTTCAGGGAACACTGCTCTTCTACACTGAAGGCAACGCATGGTCTCTGATGCCTGTGGTGGGCAGGAGAGAAGTGGAGGCAAGAGCATCAGCTGCACACATCTGTCAGGGGACACACATTTCCCATCTCACCTAGGACATGGAATGACAAAGCCAACGGCAATCGGAGCTGCCAGCTTACACACAGCAACTGCTCTTGGAGAGTCTCCCATTTCCTGGCGTGTTTAGAAAGAGCCACAGCTGCCAGCACGGAACTGGTACACAGCAAATGCTCAATAAATGCTATGTTTAAGGGGTGACATAACCACCACTGTCTCCTTCGACGGCTAGCTGCTACAGTAGGGAGCTTGAGCCCATACAGCCTGCAAACCATCTCTTCAGATACTAAAACTCTGCTTACCAAGTAGTTTGGCTACCACAGGTTAGTTTGGCTTAGCTCTGGCTAACACAAGAAGGAATATAGATTAGAAAAGTGCCTAAGGTCCTTGACTTTGAGAATTCAGCAGGAGCTAAAGATCTCTCTCTAGGAGAAACATCTACCTGCAATTACACAATTGACCATGGGCTGCAGGAGGCTCACACCCACTCTAGAGTGTATGTCAGAGACCCGGCTGTGCCTCAGGTGGAAGGTGGTATACATGTTTCTTCTTTTTGCCTGCTCTATTTTCTAAAATAAACATGCATTGCTTCTGCAAAACCATAATATAAATAAGAGAAGAGCCTAAGAAAAAAAGGCAACGCTGACCCAACCGAGCCCATGTCAGCATCTGTGACCAGTGAGCTCTATGACCGACACCTAATTGAACACAGGCTGCCTGGAATCATTCCTCGTTTGTTTTCTGGGCAAACCATTCCTAAAGAATCATTACTCCAAACAACCAAACTGAGAGCCTTCCATGACCAACTCCAGACACATAAGTGAAACAATGGCCAGAGCAGCCCAGAGGCTTTCTCTGGAGAACACTGTAGGTTCCTTGTGTACAAGAAACTGCGTCACCTCACACACGGTTCTACTTGTCCCGAGCAGAGACCAAGCCATGAACGGGATGTGGGTGAGACTCAACCTGGTTATCAGCCTAGAAGCCAGCACAGCTGCAGAGGGAAGGTCACCACGATGTGCACTGCAGAAAGGCCCACACAGGGGTCCAGGGAGAGCAGGAGGGCACATCTCCAGCCCAGGAGACCCCAGCTACCCTAGAAACTTGGTTACGCCGGGCGTTGGTGGCGCACACCTTTAATCCCAGCACTCGGGAGGCAGAGGCAGGTGGATCTCTGTGAGTTCGAGGCCAGCCTGGTCTACAAAGCGAGTTCTAGGACAGCCTCCAAGACAATACAGAGGAACCCTGTCTCGAAAAACAAAAAAAAAAAACAAAAAAAAAAAACTTGGTTACTATGCAAAACAAATTAGGGGAGGGCCAGAGGGTGACCAAATGGGAGCAACAACGGATAGGGAGGCATATACTGAGAAGTCTCAGGAAACAAAAGCGGGGACACATTCTGGGACCATGGAGGCAGCACTAGGACAATGAAGGGCAAGGAGCACAAACATGTGGTTTCCTTCTTGGTCCAGGCTCTTGGGCCCTAACCCTGAGGTAAACAAGTCTAACAAAACACACATCACTCTCGGCAAAGACCCAAACCCTGAAGTCATCCCACTGGCCCCTGGAAAAGAGATCAAAGCCCATGGCAAGCTCCACTGTTAAAAAGCTCTCCTACAGCAGCCTCTAGTGAGTGTCTTTCTAGAAGCTAGTGGGTAAAACAATAGGCAGATGCTTATCTATGAGAGACAATCTGTCAAACCAGAGGAATGACCCAAGGAACTCCCAGGAGACAGATTGATCAGGGAGGCGAGTTAGAGCAGGGAAGAAGACTGGCTGGGGCCTGGAGAGCCCTCAGCAGATTTTAAGCCCCTGGAAAGAGGAGATAGGAATCAAAAACAGTATTGATTTTCAGTGTGCATAGAAAAACATGGCAAAGCCAAACAAAACCTGAGATCCATTCGTCCCTGGCCCCGTCTCCATTCAAGAGAAGTGGAGGTGGGTAAGAAAAGCTGGACTAAGGTTCAGGAACCAACAGAAAACTTACTTAGGGATAAAATAAAACCACCCCTGCATTCTGAGATATGTCTGCATGAAGTAAGCCACCAGACTGAAATTGCTTTCTAAAGAGAACTAAAGCTGCACCCTCTCAGGATGGACACACGCACACACATGGCATGATCTGTGTGGTGTGCACGAAGATCAGGAACGAGGTAGCAGCCTCGCTCTACCTCCTGGGCAGAGGAACAGCAGCAGAGTAAGGCAGTCTCTGCCCTTGAGGAGGGCAGTAAAACAAGTACGGGAACTTCCCGTAATGAAGCCCGTGTCTCATAAAGAAGTCCTGTGAGTCCTCCAGTAACTACTCCCAGGATGGAGTCCAAGATAACGGAGTTCTAGCAGCCTGGAGGCAGCAGCAGTGAGTCTGCGCAGGATGCAGAAGCCCTTGACAGGCACACACCCACGGGCAGAAAGTGAAGACTCGGCTGTGCGGCAGGAGGCCGTGAGGGAAGATGGATGGGGCAAGGGTGCAGGCCCTGCAGCAGTGGTTGCCAGAGAAGCCCAGGCCTCCAGGGTCTGTGGCATCTGACATCTAGGCAGAGTGTGAGGGGGCTGAAGGCAGCCCTCGGCCAACAGTAGCAGCAGAGCCCTGTGCTTCCCGTCCCTTCCTCTTCTCAGGCAACAGCTCCTTCAGTTCACCCCTCAGCTCCCGGTTTCAGGGTCTCTAATTGCTTCCCGGTTCTCCAATCGCCTTCCTGTTCTCCAATCCCTCAATTCCTGAAGAATGTCCCTCTGTCCTGGGCTTCAGAGTCTCGCTGCTGCTTACCAATTTTCCCCAGGAGCAGGGCACTTAAATCTGACAGACCCCCAACTTGCTCCTCCTCAAGGTTCTTTGCGGCAGAATTGCTAACCATCTCAGACAGCCCCTTAGCTTACCGAAAGAGACAAGTTCCCTTTGGCCTTTCCTCGTTTCAGTACATTCTCCCTTAAGGTCATGCCTGCTAACTCATGTGCTCAAGGCTTCTAGTCATGGGTGCCACTTCCTAAACAAGGGTATTAGGGCAGAAAGTCTTTAACACAACACCTGCTAAATCTGACATTGTCACTGATGGAATCACCAGATGATCTTTGGCAAGTCAACTGCCAAGAGTCTTTCAGAAGAGGAGGGAACCAAAGAGAGGCCCTGCCATGGAGCACCTGGCTTGTGTGACACTTCCTCTGCTTTTAACTCTCCTACTTATAGCTGATGTTAGGTTAGCTATGGAGTCTTTAGAACTGGAGTCCCCCATTCTTCAAAATAAAGACAGATAAAAATCTACCTTTAAGGAAGATGGAGCAGATGTTTTAAGGAAAACCTAGCAAATTACTGGAGAAAGGCACTTAGTAAATCACAATTTCCTCATTTGTCCCCTTCAGGCTTGCTTTTTTTAAAACCCACTCACTCTCACTTTGGGTTTTTATGTAATACGCACGTACGCACGGCCGTTCTCAAGAGACAGGGCTTTGTAGCTCTGGCTGGTACTCTCAAAGTAGACCATGCTAACCAGAGATCCACCTGCCTCTGCCCATTTCCCAAATGCCAGGGTTAACGGTGTGCACCATGCTTGGCCCTCCTGTCAAACCTTCGGTCAAGCTGTCTCCACACCAGCACTACTGACATTTTAAGCCAGTTGGTTCTCTGTGTGGAGTTGTCATGTGTGTTGTTAGTCATATAATGGTATCCCTATGCACTCTCCAGATGCTGGTAGTACCAGTTGTGACAACCAAAAAGGTTTCTAGACATTGCCAGATGTTCTGGGGGTGGGAGAAAGGGAATGGATGACCGCCTGACTGAGAAACAATACATTAGTCTGAAAGCTTATAGCAACAACACTGTGCTCCGTCCTCATGAAGTCTCTTTTCTTGATTTCAAGCCTCATGAATTCTTGCTACAGTTATGTAGTTTTATCTTTGAAAAGCAAGATGCTTGCATATTTTCTGCAAGAAAATCAGCTTGTTTGCCACACCTTTAAATGTTACGTGTAAAATGATATTTGAGTGACAAGTATACTAACAAGACCAATGAAAATCAGATGTCTATGATACACCAAAAGGCAGAATATCACAAGGTTCATTTAAGGTTTTAGAGATGGGTGATTCAAAAGAACATAAAACACGACAAGGCTTTCACATAAAAGCACATCAATTCAATTTAATATTTAGCCTTGAAACTAGGCTGTCTAAACAGTGTTTAATAGACAGGAGAGTGACCAAGTACTTGTAGACAAGACAACTCTAAACACTGATTGTATAACTCATCATTCCACAAACTTTCCAGTTAAAAAATTTCTTGCTGGCTGTGGCGGTACATGACTATAATACCGGTACTTGGGAGGCAGAGGCAGGGAGACTGCCAGATGTTTGAGGCCAGCTTGGTCTACCTAGAAAGTTAAAGGCAACCCAAGGCTAATTAGCAAAACTTGGTTTAAAACAGAAATATTGAGATTTCACTTAAGAAACTTGTTGTTTTAAACAAACTAATTATACAAGAAATTATACATATCAAAAAAAGAAAAAAAGGAACTGCACATCATACAAACTACTAATCATACAAGAAACCCCTTTGATCTTTATCTTTTCAACGATAAAAATACATAACTGTAGTTAAAAACAAACAAATAAAAACACAGTAAAGAACTGTGTCCAAGGGCTGGAGAGATGGCTCAGAGGTTAAGAGCACTGGCTGCTCTTCCAGAGGTCCTGAGTTCAGTTCCCAGCAACCACATGGTGGCTAACAACCATCTGTAATGAGATCTGGTGCCCTCTTCTGGCCTGCAGGGACACATGGAGACAGAACATAGCATGCATTAAAAAAAAAAAAAAAAAAAAAAAAAGAACTGTGTCTAACGCCTGTGTGGTGGCTCACGCTTCCAAGCTCACACTCGGGAGGCAGAGGCAGGTAGATCTCCAGGAGTTGAAGGGCAGCCTGATCTACACAACAAGTTCCAGGTTAGCCAAGGAAATACAGTGAGATCCTGCCTCAAAAGTCAAAAACAGTTGTTTGTTTGTTCTTTCTTTTTTTATTATTGGTTTTTCAAGGCAGGGTTTCTCTATGTAGTCCTGGCTGTCCTGGAACTCTTTCTGTTGATCAGGCTGGCCTTGAACTCTCCTCCAGAGTGCTGGGATTAAAGGTGTCACCAGGCCCCTATCTGTCACTCTTAATGAAATTACTATCTGAAACTAAGGAGACCTTTTCCAAGTTGTTTATAATGGTTTATGCTTGCTAATTATATCACTGGGGAGGCTGCAGTCTTAGATTTGATTAAGTGGCTCTTTTTTCTTGTCCTGGTCTCTCCAACAATAATGGCTACTCTTTCCAACTGGTTACTTGTCAACTTTGATACTCACTGGTTGGCCAACACTGTGCTAGAATCTTTAAACAAGCCCCTTGTCCCACCATTTCTTTACCAAATCACTCATCCACTAATGCTTCCCACGGAACAAAAAGGAAGACTACATCACGAAAGACCTTTTCACTCTGCCAGATCCATCCCTTGCCGAGCCCGTTCAAGAAGAACATGCTTCATAAAATTTCCAAGTACCTTTGCTATTTCCGGTAGTGAGTCTCCCTGAACTTCATCGTGCAAATGGATAACTTCCGTTTATTGGGGCCAGTGTACAGACATCTCATTAGAACCCAAGCTTCTCCCTTTACAACCCTTCCACACCCATCAGTAACCTCTCAGCTGATGCTAGCATCCGGTTATTTTTCCTGATTTAATATTAATGAAACGCAGAACACTTAGCACTAGCGGCTGTCTTAGTTGTTCAATTGCCTTTGCACCTCGGCTGCCATCTCTCAGATCAGAGGCCCAGACACACACACGGCACACACTCGCACAGACACACACGGCACACACACACACGCACACATTCACACACACGGCACTATCTGACCACACTCGCACAAGAGAAACTGAAAACGGAGGGTTGAGGCATGCTTTCATCAAGGAGGCGGCGACCTGGGAAACACGGGAGAATTAGCATTCAGCCCTTCACAGCTTTTCTGAACTCTCCTGTCTTTTCTTCTGACCCCCAAACGGCCAGGCCTTTCTCTCAGTCCTCCTTGGCTTTCGGGAGACGTAAGAGCCGGGAGGTGAAGCCACAGGGCCTGACAGGGTTTTGGGCGTTCGGTGCGGACCGCACCTCGGCTCGCGCCGGGGGAGGGCGCCCCGGGGCTGCGGGCGTCCGTGACCGCGTTCCGGTCCCGCCACTCACCTTCTCTCAAGCCGCGGGCTGGAAGCCACGACCATCCGGTCGCGGCGGGGCCTGACAGGAACCCTTGCAGCTGACGCCCGCAGCCTGACACCAGAGCCCTGAAGGACGCCATCCTGGGAACTCGCCTGACCTCGCCTGCACTTCCGCTTCCGGAGCGGGGCGTGCGCAGCCGTCCAGCAGCGAGCGGGTTTCTCCTGGTTACTCGCGTCGCTTGTGTTTCTGTCCCCAGTCGGGATCTGGTCTAAAGAGACGAGCCTGTGTTTTGCCCTAAGTGTCTAGGAGATCCTCCGGCAGCTGCTGCCTGTTCGCCTCCCTTGGTAATCACACAGCACACCACTTCTGGAGTTTTCCTTCCCGCTTGCCAGCCGCCGTTTTCAGCTTCTGTGGTTGAGGCTGGGTCAGTCAGGACAGATTGAAATGAATGGACTCCGGCTCCTGCAGCGTCAGACCGGAACAGAATTGACCTACCCTCCTCCTGCCCATCTTTGTTGCTCACATACACTTCCTGTCCCGCACTCGATACCCTCCGTCCTCTGCCTAGTCTTTGGCTGCCTGATAAACGATTTACTAGAGCTTACTTCAAACTTCATTCACTGAGGAGATGACCGTGACCTCCCCTATGCTGGGTCTCTGCAGCATTGGGCTTAGTGCTCCACACAGTTGATGTCTCCGGCACGGAACTGTAAACTCCTTTAAGACAGAAACAGTGTTGTCAGGTGTGGTGTTGCAGCCTTTAACCCCACCCAGCACTAGGGAGACTGAAGTAGGTGGATTTCAGTGAGTTCAGGGCCACTCTGGTCTACACTGGGAGTTCCAGGCCCCTCCCTCACTCTTTATCCAATATAAGCCTAAAAGGAGTTGGTGTCCCTCGTTATCTGCACTGGTTCTCTGGAGAGAAGTCTAGGTCTCCTGAATGATGCAGTGAGCTCTGGTGACGGGAGAGGAAGGCTGTTGTTTAGTTGGTAGTGGTACCTGCTGGGCTGGGTGGGTGCAAACAAAGCTGCTTGAGGAGCTCTGCAGCATCACTGCAGACAGGAAGAACAGGAGAGAAACCATTGAGCAAAGGCAGATACAGGGAGAAACCTGGAAGATCAGTTAAGGTGGGATTGATTGGCAGACACATGGATGAGAAGCAGGTTTCTGTGGGGTGCGCCTCTAGTGTTCCAGCCAAGATCAGGATAGCACTGACTCGCTCTAGCTTCCACTTTTCTCCGGCACTGATGAGCCACACGTCCTGTTTTTACCACATTCCTCCTCTGATTCACGTCCAACTTCTGGGGACTGAGCCGAGGCCAGGGTAGTAACAGAGCCCCTCATGACACGTGTGGGCATAGTGAACTAAAGCTTCTAGGTGCCAGCACTCCAAGGTTATGTTTCCTAACTTACTGGAATCAACATAAATTTGGGGTGCTGCAGAGACAGATCAGTGGTTAAGAGCCCTGGTTACCCCTTTACAGGACCAGGGTTAGTCTATCAGCACCCACGTGGCGGCTTACAAGCTCCTGTGACTCCAGTTCCAGGAGATCTGATGATCTCTTCTTGTCTCCTCGGGCACCAGGCATAAATGCGGTGCACATTCATGCGTGCAGCCATATACATAAAATAAGAACAACCCCTTTCTGTTCTGCTCAGGTAGGAGACCAGATGTGTCATTCTTAATTCCTGTTGTAGCTTAAAGGGAAACTTCTCCCCATGTCTAGAGCCCTTGATACCCTCCCAGCGGAGGAGGAGAGTGTCCTCAAATTCATCGCAGCAGGGATTGGCTTAGGTGGCTCCAGCTTTGACTTGGGATGGAACAGTACACCCACAAAAGGAAAAATGGCAGAATTTGTATCGTAAATCTGAATAGGACCTGGGAAAAGCTGCTGCTGGCACCTCCGGTCGTTGTAGCTTATGCCAGCATCATGTCCTCCGGGAACACTGGCCAGCGAGCTGCGCTGCCATTTGCTGCTGAGCCTGGAGCCGCTGCTGGCTGCTTCACTCCAGGGACCTTTACTAACTGGATCCAGGCAGCCTTAGGGAGGAGGCTGATCTGTGGCTGACCACCAGTCCCTGACAGCAGAGTCTCCTGTCAACCTGTTTACTGTCACTGTCTAACATGGGTTCTCCTCCACCTCATGAGGGCGTTGTGATTGTGAGATTAGTAAAAGGCAGCTGTAGAGAGACAGAAGGGAGAACGGCTTGCTCTGACCATAGGTGGACCATGTCCATTCCTGGTGAGGGAGCATCTTGTCATCCATGTGCAGAGAGGAAGATGGACTGCAGCCCCTTATAGGGTCAGGAACCACTTCCGCAGTCCTAAAGGGAACCGTTCAGCAGGAAGCTGTCACTCCTGATGCTGAGAGGATAAAAAAATGCAGGGCAGGGGCATGGCAGCTGATTCTGCTGAGGTCTTTGTTAGAGGGGCTCATGTGTCCATTGAAGAGGGGTTCTCCTACTCATATAGGAGGGGGAGAGTCTTAAGTTGATCGGCTTTAAGGGTGAATCGGGTGATTGACCTCTTATATTGCTGGAGAGATTTGGAAGATGATTGCTAGAGGGCTGTAAGCAGCTGATTTGGTTACAGAGTAAGACTGAGCGATTTCCCAGGAAAGTTGAGAGGTGGGGAGGGACAGGGGTGAGAGGAAATGGGCATAGAGGTGATTCAGGGTGACAGTGACTATTCCCATTGCCGGGCGTGTTGGACCATGAGCCAGCAGAAGTAGCAGGAGGCCACAGAGCATCAAAGGAGGGGAACCAGAGAAAATAGAGGACTAACGTAAAGGATTGTGTCCAGCTCAGGGTGAAAGGGATGATGTCCCCTTAATCTGTTTCTCCGCATCGTCTAAAAGGTCTTTTTGCAGACGTATCAGGAACACGTATGGAGTTGTTGTGGGGCGAGAGCATTGGGAGAGCTGGCGTGGGACATTTTATTTGTGCAGACAGGGAAGTTCTGTAAGTAAACATTTAAAAGACGGTGTAAAAATGTAAGTATGAGGGTGATAAGGAGGAAGGAGGTCAGTACGGCAGCAGTCACGGATGGAGCTGGTCCTGAAGGAGGTGAAGCTCATCTGCACTGGCGAGACAGAGGTGAATTGACGCAAAGGAGGCTTCAGTCCAGATGTTTCAGTTCTGAGTCCCCCAACAGTGTTCAGAGTGGCAAGAAGAGGGATGAGTTAGATGGCCCATGGCTCCTTGGTCCCCTTTCAGAGGTCACCCGAATGCTTTTGGGGCTTGGGGCCGTTGCTCTCTCGGGAACTGTTTTGAGGTTGACAGAAGGGTGATGAGGACAGCAGCAGTTGGTGTGCCTCAAATGAGGTTCCATCCAAGGGACCATAAGGAACCTAACAGTTGGCAAAGATCCAGAATGCACATCAGGAGGTAAAAACTGCACAACTTAGTGGGGAAATTAAGGGACAAAGAGGAAACTTTCACATCGACAGCAACATGTAACTGGACGACTGGCAGGACCATGTTCTGTAGAAGGACAAGGCGACTGTAATTAGATGTCTGTTAGGTCAGACTCCTAAATAAGGAGCAAGCTCCCAGAAGCTTTGTAAAGAAGTCAGTTAAAGTTAGCACCTAAGGAACAGATCTGACAGAGCGTGTCTAAGTGGTAGTCCTTGCTTTTACATATCATAAACTTTGTATGCTTGTTTCAACTATTAATATCACAGAGTATCTCAAGTAAAAACTAAATCTTTGGTTAGGAACAATTTACTAAGGTAAAATGCTTAAATATGATGACTATTTCCTCAAGTGACCATATCTAGTATTTGAAAGCATAGCAATATATATTTTTGCTAAAATCAAGTTATAATGCCTATATTCCAAGATTATATGTAAATATATTTTATATTATCAGGCTGTGTAAAGAGACAATTCTCTTCTAAGTTGTATTCCCCAGAAAAAAACTATTTTCAATTTAAAAAGTATACTCCCAAAGACAGTGACTCTCTTGATATCTCCTCAGTAGGCTTGTCTCTAGAACACTCTTAAGATATCCTGAGTCAGTGACTGCCTTGATTTCTCCTCAGTAGGTATGTGTGGTGATAAATTATTTATGATTTATTCCTGTTCAGGCAATTAGTCTCCAGCCATGTTAAGGTCAGGATGGCTTCAGTCTGAGTCGAGGTTAGAGCTACTGGCTTGGCTGCTTTGCTTCTCTGATCTCTCAGCTTGAACCCCAATATCAGTTGCTGGGTTTTTATTATTCATGTTACAAATTGGTGCCCAACTTAAATTGGGGAAGGTGGATCTCTGAGAGCTCGATGCCAGTCTGGTCCACACAGTGAGTGTCAGGCTGCTGGGGCTACAAACCTCCCCCTGAAAGCAACTTAAAGAAGGGAGGATTTTGGCTCATACTTTGAGAGCACAGTCCATCCTAGTGGGAAGGCATGGGAGACTGCGACAGTAGGAGGAGACAACAAATGGTCACATTATGTCCACAGTCAGGAAGTGGGGGTGGGGTGGGGAAGAGAGGGAGAGGGAGAGGTCTGTGCTCTGTGCTTAGCTCATTTCAGTTCAGAGCCCCACCCCAAGGGAAGGTGCCGCCCACCTTCATTGTGGGGTCTTCTCAGGTAAAATTTCCCATACAGAACTGCCTGACCAAGCAAAGGAGGTCTGTAGTGTCCTTAGGGCACTTTCTCAAGCAGGACCAGAATTGGAGTCAAGTGAGGTTCATCCTGTGGTTGGGGACAGTGAGGACGCTCATCTCAGTTCCCTTGAAGTCTAAACAAGTCTGTGCTGGGTCCTTCTGCAGATGGCGGGATGCTCTTTCCGAAAAGGGCACCTCCCTGTCACGCTGGTGACTCATCAAATTCTGCTCTTGTTGTCCAAATGTAGTTCATTTAAAAAGATGTGTGTGTGTGTGTGTGTGTGTGTGTGTGTGTGTGTGTGTGTGTGTGTGGTGTCTGAGGAGTCCAGAAGAGGGCTTTGGAGCCTCTGGGACTCCAGTTCCAGGTGGTTGTGAGCCGCCTGGCATGGGTGCTGGGCACTGAACTTGACTCCTCTGGGAGAGCAGCAAGAGCTCTCATATGCTGGGCCTTCTCTCCAGCCCCTGAGGCTCCTTTCCCCTGACCCATGTAGTTCTTTAAAGACTTATTTCATTTATCTTTGATTTGTGTTATCTTATGTGTGTGAATATTTTGCTTGCAT